AAATTATGTGAAGCGCTTTGAGACATCCTCCCGGTTTGGAAGGCACCACATTAAATGAATGAAAGGAATATTAATTATTATTAATAAATGAATCTGTCCGGGCACTCTTCACACACTCCTGTCTGACCTGCTTGACTGAACTGACCCCTGAGCAATAGCTTACTGAAAGACCTGGGAGAAACTTCCCAGTGATTTGGTTCACAAGACAGATCTCTATCAAATCCCCTTCCAGACATTTTATGCGATCAGTTCCCAGACTGGGACAAAAACACTCAAGGTTTTTAATTAGGTCTTGCCTCTGGGTCAGCAGGTTGTGGGTTCAGTCTAAGCTGATGCTCCAGTGCAGTGCTGGGGGGAAGATATATTGGGGGTGGGGGGGAGATTCTGGTGTGGGCTGCATTGTCAGAGGTGCTGTCCTTCAGATGAAACATTCATATGATTAAGAGGACTTTAAAGATGCTGTTTGTCAAGAAAAGGGCATTTCTCCAAGTGCCTGGCCAACATTAAATGAATTATTCACTTCATGGCTGTGAGTGGGACCTCACTTGAGTATAAATTCTCCGATTTATTTGCCTTTCTTTATTGACCTGAGATACATTTTGACATATTAACTGGAAGGATTATTATTTTTTTAGAATCCTTACATTTGATGCTGTACAACTGCATTTTTACATCGGAGGAGGTTTCAAAGCACTTCACAGGATAGTAATAATAATAATAATCTTTGAATTTGATAGAGCGCCTTATCATGTCTTCGAGAGGGCTCAAAGCGCTTCACAGAATATACTGTAAAATTAATTGACTGTATATTTTGTGGTCAAAATGCAACAGCCAATTGCGCACTACAGCGACCCACAAACAATCGTGGATTGAGTGACCAGATTATTTTTCTTTTTTCAAGGGATTATTACCCACGGAAAAGTGACCCACCGATTGACTAGCAACCGGGTTCCTACTTACTGCTAGGTAAACAGAGTCATGTGGAGTAAGGAAACTTGCCCAACCTTTCTATACCATAAGTGCAGTAATTCTATTTTGTAGGCAAATGAAAGATTGGAGGATGGAGACGCTACGTTGCACAGAAATGTCTCACAAACAATAGAGTTTGAGGCTGGACTCTGGAACTCAAATAGGCACGATGGGGTGGCTATTCCAGAAGGAAGAGATCAAATGGCCTGAAAGGCCTCTACATCTGAACTAATCTTGTGATCTCTTGCGAGGCAAGCTTGGGATACGCTGGGCTGAAGGTAGATAAGTCGCCAAGCTGAGAAGTCCATGTTTCCCACCTACACACAGAAATCCCAGAGAAAGATTCTTCTGTCCCTGAGATTGTCGTCCTGTTGACTAAGCTGTGGACCAGGCCTGGGTTTAGATGTCCCAGGGGAAATTTGAAAGTTAAGTTGGCTCCCTTTCCAGCTCCTGGGTTGGAACCATGGAGGTTGGGTGGGGGGTGGGGAGTAGGGGGCAGGCAGAGAGGGGATCTGGAAAGTAGCTAAATCAAATAAAAAGTGTGCTGATTGCCTGCGGAGGTAATTACTTTAACAAACCTCTGTGGATCAGGGCTCAGAGCAGATCAGGCCTTTGATCATTATACTTGCTTCCTTTGGTCATCAATGAGACCTGCGATCGCTTGGCCTGAAACGACTGTCATCTCAGTTTGGAACTGAGTGGAAAAGACAGCTGGTCATCTGCTGGCAGGATGTTCCTATTTCCCCCTTCAACACTGACCCTCTGATTGCTCCTGAGTGCTAACCTGCCCTGCCAACAAGTGGTCTTTTTCACAAGACGGCCAATTTCCTAAGGGAGACAGACACATGTCAGGAAGCTTGAAATTCCTTCCAGTCATCAACGTTCGCTAACAAAACACACAGTCACTACACTTTCATCCTGGCATTTGATACTGTGCATTATCATGTTGTCGAGACATCTCAGAGCGCTTCACAGAATATGCTGGAAAATGGATTGACAGAATATTTTTCTGGGCAAAATGCGGTAGCCAATTGAGCATAGCAGTGTCCCATAAACAGTCGTGGATTGAGCAACCAAATTATTATTTTTTGAAGGGATTATTATCCCCGGATAAATGGTCAATCGACTAACAACTGGGTTTCTACTTACTGCAAGGTGAATAGTGGCGATTGGTGTAAGGAAATTGCCTAAGGTTTCATCCTGCACAGGAATCAAACCTAGGTCCTCTCGCTAGTGAGCGAGCGAGCGCTCTAACCATACGCTACAGGGCTCCACTTTATAGTAAATCCCGTGAAACGCTTTGAGATGTTCAATAATAATAATAATCCTTGCATCTGATAAAGCGCCTTTCACATCCAGAGGGCACCTCAAAGCACTTCAGCAGATACACTCTAAAGTGTAGTGACTGTTTATTTTGTAGGCCAATGCGGCAGCCAGTTTGCAATGGGTTGGGGGGAAATGGGGCGAACCTAATCATATGTAGTTAGGTTCATTATTGACGCAGCTTGAGGATGTTACAGTAATGCAACAATCTGCTGCCACAGCTGTCCCAGATGTTTGTGAGCTGGGAACACAAACAGCAATCGAAAAATGATTGTGATGGAGACAATTGCAACAGCAGCCTCTTAATACATATTGTCAGGCAGCAGAGATAATTGCTTAAACACGCTTGTTAGGACTGCTCCTTGAATGATTTCTTGTCTGCTTTAAAGGCTATTACATGTCTGGAAACTAATTATTTCTAATCAGTTTACCCAGGACAAACTGCGTTTGACTGGCAAAGCTAAAAGGCTCTGTAGAATGAAGTTAATAGTGTGTGTTATCAGTAAGAGCTGGGATTAAACTGTGCCACAAAGAGCCCGCTATCCACATGAAGACATTCTAGTCCCATTGTGGATTTGAACATTTTGTGCATGTGTGCAACGCTCCTCAGTACATTGCTTTATAGACTATTAATGTTCAGTGATTAGTTTCTGCATGTGTCGGATATAATAATAATCACAATAGTAATAACAATAATCCTTGCATTTGATATAACATATTTCACCTCAGGATGACGTCTTAAAACACTACACAGGCCTTTACTGCTATGTACCACAAAATATACAGTCAATTCACTTTACAGTATATTTTATGAAGCGCTTTGAGACGTTTCAAAGACGTGATGAGGTGCTGTATCAAATGTAAGGATTATTATTATTATGTGTAATGACTGTGTATTTTTTAAGCAAACGCGGCAGCCAATTTGCACCAGTAAACAGCCATAAAGCAAATGATTGATTTTATCTAGGGGATTATTGGCCAGGGCACTAGCTGAGAGAAATTCTCTTGTCTTTTCCAATAGCATCATGGAATCTTTAAGGTGCACCTGAACAGGCAGATAGGTCCTTGGTTTATCGTCTCATCTGAAGGATGGCACCTCCGACAATGCAGCATTCCCCCAGCAATGCGCTGGAGTTTCAACAAAAGCCACAACAATTTGCATTTATCGTGCAGAATAATGCCTCAGAGCACTTCACAGGAGGGGGGAATGGACAATGAGCAGAGGCAAAGGGAGAGGAGAGAAGGAAGAAGGGGAGTGAAAAGTAGAAGGGGGGGGACAGGAGAGGGGTGAGGGAGGGAACGGGAGAGCGGGGAAGGGGGAGAGAGGAAGAAGGGGAGAGGAAGGTGACTATAGGTGTAGTCAAAGAAGTGGATTTCAAGTGTTGGCCTGGTTCTATGACGTCTAAGTCCCAATTTGGAGCTTGATGCAAGACTCAAAGACGAGGGGGCTACCGTAGTTTAACAAAAAATGTCTTCCTTTGCTCTCTCCCCCAACCCCCACACCCCACCCCGCAAAAATCATCCCCAACCCTGAGGTGCCGAGGCCAAGAGAAGAATAATCTTAAACAGAAATAAAGCCTTCTCCTTCAAAAACAAAATATGTAATTGATTTCAAAGCTGGAATTCATTTAATTGCGCCCTATTAAAATTATCGGAAACAAGGGTTTCTTTTTGAAATCAAGACGCCCTCAATTTAAAACTTAAGAGTGATTTTCTTCGAGCGAGTTGAAGTGATCTTATCAAGGTTGGATTGTGCGCTAAATGGGTACCATCTGCTGCCTGACCTTGACTCTGTACAAGGAAGTGCTGTCACTGTGCCTTTCCTTAATCAGTCACCGGCTGCTTTTCATTAAACCTCACGGAATCGTGTTTCTGGGGCTGTTTCACCTGTGCAACGAAGAGGAGCTCACAGCAATACCAAACGGGTACCCATTGCTGCAGCTTCATTGCATTGTCCCTAATACTGCAGAAAGACAAAGCATCATTGTATTGTACCTAATAATTATAATAATCCCTGCATTTAATAACAGCGCCTTATCACATCGTTGAGACATCTCAACGTGCTTCACAGTTTATAATGTTAAGTGGTTTGACCGTATATTTTGTGGGAGAAACGCGGCAGCCAATTTCACACGGCAGTGTACCACAAACAGGCATGGATTTCGTGACCAAATTATTATTTGTTTGAACAGATTATTATTAACCCCGGGAGATGATCTGCCAATTGACTAATGACCGGTCTACTTACTGCTAAGTAAACAGAGGCGTGTGGAGTAGTGAAACTTGCCTAAGATTTTGCCCTGCCCGGCAATCGAACTCAGGTCCTCTCGCTTGTGAGGCGAGCGCTCTAACCACTAAGCTACAGGACTTCATGATGCCCATCTCCTATGAAACATGCTGCATCTGAGCAAACCAGCAGAGAGGGTGGAGGACACAGCTACCTGTGTCATAGCTACACAGCTATGAAGGTTGAAGAGATCCTGGACAAACCAACTTCACCTCCTTCCTCAACAACATGAACACTCTGCAGAATTCTCTTCCTCAGTGAGGATTTAAAGTGCCTGTTGCTACAGCTATCTCGTCAGACATCTGTTACCTCAATAGAGCTCCCAAGATAGAGCCATCTTGTTAAGATGGAGCGGCTGAAGGTTTTCCTAGTTCTGCTATCTCTGGTGGCTTCCCACTCTGTGCTGACAGCAGCAGGCGGGCTTGTCCGGCTAAACCGAGGGATTATGGTCGGCAGAGGACAGTCTGTGTATGTGACAAATAGGGACCTACAATTCAATGTCCCTGAAAACCAGGATCCCTGCAAAGTGGAAGTGGTGTTAAACGAACCTGCTACGCAGCAAGTCGGCAAGTTAAAACCTCAGGTGAGTTGGTGTTCATTCTGTAAGATACAGCGGGGAGAGAGGTAAGGGGCGATTTGCTACTAGTGTAATGTAATAAATAACAATAAAACCAGAAATTGCTGGGAACACGCAGCAGGTCACGCAGCATCTATGGAGAGAGGAAAGGTCGATGACCTTTGGTTACTTTTAGTCCTCGACCTGAAACGTTAAAAAACAAATAACAGACCTCGCGTTTGATATGATGCCCAAACCTCTCAAAGTGTTTCAAAGGGAATTAGTGTCAAGTGTAGTGACTGAATTGTTCTAGCGGGTGAATTATGCACAGCAAGGAGTTTGCTGGTTTCAGGCAAGGCTGCTTCGGGGGTGGGGGTAAATTGACTACTTAAATGAGTCCCGTTACCATCTATGTACAAAGAAATACTTCCTGTTGCATATCCTGAAATTATCCCTCCAACCCTAAACCTGTGCCCTCTTGTTCCCCCTGCCCTGGCATAGCTGGAAGTATTGTTGTGGGGTTTAACCCTCTCAAACGTGTTTGGAAGCTTAAGCACTCCGAGACACTACCCCATGTAATTTTGCTCCAAGTCTATGCAGAGCATCACACTGATGTATCAAATTGCCGAATGCTTCACCTTTCATGAATGATTATATCTCCGAGCAGGTGTTTGACTGCCATTTCTTCCCCGAAGAAGTCAAATATACTCACAATGGCTGCCCCATCCTGGAGGAGGATAATGTGATGATGAGGATCTACAGGTAATGACAATTTCCTTACTCCAGGCGCCTCTGTTTACCCAGCAGTAATTAGGAACCTGGTTGTTAGTCGATCGGTGGATCGCTTTTCCAGGAGCAGTAATTCTTTCAAAAGATAATAATAATTGATCACTCAATCCACAAGTGTTTGTGGGACGCTGCTGTGCGCAGTTGGCTGCCACGTTTCGCCCATAAAACACACAGTCAATCCACTTTACAGTGTATCCTGTGAAGTGCTTTGAGACGTCTTGAAGAGATAATAAGGCGCTATATCAAATGCAAGGATTATTATTAGAATTACATTAAATTGAAGGATTATTAGTATTCGCACCTTGAGTTATTTTACTCATCTGCATTTCTCTCAATTGACAGATTCACAGAGACCGAGACCTTGATGGAGACCTTCCTGCTGAAGGTGAGGGTCAGCGAACCCGAGGCCGGCCTGGTTTGCTTCGGGACGGTTGCCTTGGAGGTGCCAGAGTTTTACGGCGTCTCGAACCCCATCGACAAAGAAGTTGTATCATTCAGGTACAATGCGGAACGATCAGGGACAGTCTGCACAGTCAGGATCTTACCTCCTGAGGCTCTGGTTCCAGCTCATGGCCAGATCATCACTGATGTTCCTCAGTATCCAAGAGGACGGTCACTAGATGCAGGAATCAACAATGATCAGAGGACAGGTAACGACTTTGTCATTCATGAATCGCACAAAAATCCAAAATCTAAAATAATATTTACACAGCGCCTTTCACGTCAGCAGGACATCCCAAAGTGCTGGTCAGTCAGGGATTTGGAATCCTACAACACAGAATGAGGCCATTTCCACAGAGTCCCATAGAGTAGTGGTTAGCCCTCTCGCCTCCCAAGCGAGAGGACCTGGGTTTGATTCCTGGGCAGTGGGAAACCTTAGGCAAGTTTCTTTACAAGTAAGTATTCAATTCCCTTTTGAAAGTTATTATTGAATCTGCTTCCACCTCCCTTTCGGGCAGTGCATTCCAGATCGATCAATCGATCGACCCACTCCACGTCTGTCAACCTTGCAAGCCAAAGCCCAATCAAGCACTGGGAAGGTTGTGAGACAGTGATCTCAAGGACAACCTATGCGGTTTTAGCGGATTAGAACCCAGCAGTTACCCCAACACATACTCTGTGCTTCCCAAGTTTTGGGCCTCTCTCTGTACACAAATTGGCTGCTATGTTTGCAAACAGACATTGCACTTAAGAGCGAATTCTGTGAAGCGCTTTGATGCATCTTTCCGACATTAAAGCACTGTAACGAGTAATGATTATTATAAAAATGGGTAGAATAATACAACAATAAATTACATCTATATAGTGCCTTTCATGTCGGGAGTATGTCCTGAGGCATTGAAGGAGATTAATGTATAAACAAAAGGCAAAATACTGCAGATGCTGGAAATCTGAAATAGAAACCAGAAGTGCCTGGGAACACGCAGCAGGTCAGGCAGCATCTATAGAGAGAGGAAAATGAGTTAACATGTCAGGTCGATAACATTTCATCAGAACTAGCTTACTGCAATCTGGCAGGTGGTGAAATAGGCCTGAAACAACACAGACTAATCTATATAGCACTCGGATGAGGTATTACCCCCCGGAAAGCGGATTGTGTAATTTGCTGCTGTGGTTCGCCCACAAAATTCACAGTCAATCCACATTACAGAATATTCTGTGAAGCGCTTTGAGATGACTTAAACGACACTAGAAGGCATTTATAAAATACAAGGATTATTATCATTATCATCATCATTATCATTATTATTATCATTACACCAATGCTCTGTTGACTTGATTGGTTCATAAAGCAATCCTGGTAATTTGTATTTTTGTATTGTATTTTTTTGCAATGTTAATTCTTCAGTCAGACAGACTGGGCTTCTGTGTGCCGGGAACAAGGCTTGCCCAGCTGGGGCTAAGGAGGTGCGTTTCCTGAAGGCTGACTGTGAGCATTTCCTAACGATGGGGCTGAAATATCAACACCTCAGCCCACCTTCTCCTGATGTCGACTACATTCCCATTACTGTGGAGATCAGAGACGAAAAGAGTAGATTACAGCTGCAGGTAACTCCGTCCCCCCTCTTTTCCGCCACCTCTCCGACTCTCTCCTTCTCCCCCCCCCCCCCCACTCTGCCTCTCTCCTTCTCCCTCCTCCCCCCCATTCTGCCTCTCTCTTTCCCCCCACTTTCTGCTTCCCGCCCACCTCCTTCCTGCCCCCACTCTCTCCTTCCTGCCCCCTCTCTCCTGCCACCCCCCTCCTACACCCCCTCTCTCTCTCCTAATCCACTCTCTTTCTCCTGCCCCCTCTTTCCTTTCTGCTACCCATCTCCTTCCTTCCCCCCTTCTCCTACTACACACTTCTCTCTCATGCCCCACTCTCTCCTTCCTACACCCCCTCTTCTACCCCTCTCTCCCCCTCTCCTCCCCCTTTCTTGCTGCCTCGTTTTACCCCACAAAATATACAGTCAATTTATTTAACAGTATAACAACAAAAATATAGCAGGATCCCTAGAGAGTTTTGGTTGCTCAATTTCTCAGTCAATCTATATTCTGTGAAATGCTTTGAGACCTGCCTCGATGACGTGATAAGGCAAGGACTATTATTGTTATTATTATTATTATTCTCCATGCTCTGGAATGCTACCCTATGTGAGGGTCGCTATATAAATGCAAGTTGTTGTTGTTACCGACCAATCTGATTTAATGCTCCTTTCCCAGGTGGAAAACGCTTGGATTCCTGTTAAGATTAAAGGCGGAATTCCAAACCAGCGACCAAAAGCTGCCTTCATGTCAATGTTCATCCTCGAGCTTGACCAGTTCATCCTCACGCCGCTCAGCACGGCAGCCCTGGACGCAACCGACGATGAGTCCCCAAAGCACCGGCTGTTCTTCAAGATCACCAAACCTCCAGAGGAAGGTTACATCACCCACTTGGAGGACCACACCAAGCCCATCACCTCATTCACCTGGCAGGACCTGCATGAGATGAAGATAGCGTACCAGCCACCGAACATCAGCCACACTGAAAGAAGGAACTACGAGGTAATAATAATAATTCTTGCATTTGATACAGCACTTTATCACGTCTTCGAGAAATCTCAAAGCGCTTCACAGAATACTGTAAAGTGTAAATACTGTAAAGTGAATTGACTGTATATTTTGTGGGCGAAACGCGGCAGCCAATTGCACACAGCAGCGTCCCACAAACAGTTGTGAATTGAGTGACCAAATTATTTTCATTTATTTTGAAGAAATTCTTCCCCCTGGAAAAGCGATCCGCCAATCGCCTAACAGCCAGGTTCCTACTTAATGCTTGGTAAACAAAGGCGTGTGGAGTAAGGAAACTTGCCCAATGTTTTGCCCTGCCCGGGAATCCTTGCATTTGATATAGAACCTTATCATGTCTCACTGAATTCACAACCATTTGTGGGACACTGTTGTGCGCAATTGGCTGCCGCCTTTTGCCCACAACTTATTATAAGAGAATTATTATATTTAATCTTTGTCATATTTCAGGTTGATTTTAAGGCAGTCGATGTATTTTTCCTGGACAGCGCTCCCATCATGGTCCATTTTTCAATCAGAACAGCCGAAACAAATGCTCCCAGGGTTTCCTGGAATATGGGTAAGTGTATTTTCAAAGAAAACGTACAGCTGCCTTTTCTCTGTGAGTAGCACAATGGGGAATGTCAATTTATTACAATTGCCTTGTTTTTTTTTCCTATTTAGAACAGAATCACAGAAATTTAAGTAAGGAAAATGGGGCCTGGCCCATGATGTCTGCACTGGTGCTCGCTCCCCCACTGGAGCTCTCTACTCTAACCCCATTCCCTGCTCTCTCTCTCTCTCTCCATCGTGTCTGTGCTGGGGTTCCCTCCCCCACTGGAGCTCTCTACTCTAACCCCATTCCCTGCTCTCTCTCTCTCTCCTCATCGTGTCTGTGCTGGGGTTCCCTCCCCCACTGGAGCTCTCTACTCTAACCCCATTCCCTGCTCTCTCTCTCTCTCCCCATCGTGTCTGTGCTGGGGCTCGCTCTCCCACTGGAGCTCTCTACTCTAACCCCATCCCCTGCTCTCTCCCCCCATCGTGTCTGTGCTGGGGCTCGCTCCCCCACTGGAGCTCTCTACTCTAACCCCATTCCCTGCTCTCTCTCTCTCTCTCCATCGTGTCTGTGCTGGGGTTCCCTCCCCCACTGGAGCTCTCTACTCTAACCCCATTCCCTGCTCTCTCTCTCTCTCCTCATCGTGTCTGTGCTGGGGCTCGCTCCCCCACTGGAGCTCTCTACTCTAACCCCATTCCCTGCTCTCTCTCTCTCCCCATCGTGTCTGTGCTGGGGCTCGCTCCCTCACTGGAGCTCTCTACTCTAACCCCATTCCCTGCTCTCTCTCTCTCCCCATGGTGTCTGTGCTGGGGCTCTCTACTCTAACCCCATTCCCTGCTCTCTCTCTCTCCCCATCGTGTCTGTGCTGGGGCTCGCTCCCCCACTGGAGCTCTCTACTCTAACCCCATTCCCTGCTCTCTCTCTCCCCATCGTGTCTGCACTGGGGCTCACTCCCCCACTGGATCTCTCTACTCTAACCCCATCCCCTGCTCTCTCCCCATCGTGTCTGTGCTGATGGTCGTTCTAGTGAGTACTAATGTTACTGTATGCCCATTAAATACACAGTCAATTCACTTTGCATATTCTGTGAAACGCTTCGACATCTCAATGACATGATAAGGTTTTATATTAAATACAAGAATTATTATTACTGTAATATTAACATAGTTACAGTGAGTGAATTTAGCTCTGTTTACACTGCAACTTTGCTAACTTTTGATCAGTTTTCTTCCCAACTGTTAACCGGAGCATATGGGAGAGTGGGATTAGACAAGGTCGACCAATGTTTCAAAATATGTGGAGTTGATGGGCCAAATGGCTTGTTTCTGTGCTGTAGTGTTCTGTAATTCTCTAATGTCAAGGCTTAGGGTCTGACTGGTCTTTTCTGCCCTGCTAGACAAAAGTCATTTGTTTTTGTTGGTGTGCCCCATGTCCTGTGTTCTGATCTTCGGATCTCTTCACTGTCCAGGCCTGGACTTGTTGGAAGGTCAATCTCGATCAATCACCTGGGAGAACCTGCAGATAGTGGACAATGATAACATCAACGCTGTCCGTCTGGTAACAGTGGAAGGTCTTCAGCACGGGAGGCTCACTGTTCGAGGTAAGGTAACGTGTATTCTCATGAGCATTTTATTATTGCTATGTCAGCCTTTCATTCACACTGCACCGTTACATACAAAACAAAGCACCGGTGACAGACCAGTATCGTTAGTATCAGCCTGGTTTGGCCGGTAACACTCTCTCTCTTATCATGGTTCAGATGATCACGGCTTCTAATCCCAAATCAGGAATAGTCCAGTGAAGAATGAAGAATATTAAAGATTCTGAAATACTGTCCGAAGTAAGAAAGGATTTTTTCCCGATGTTCTGGGCAACAATTCCCCTAAATGAGTGGATCAGTCACTACACTTGACAGCAATTCCTTGTAAAGTGGCTTGAGACATTTCTGGGGGTAATAATACCTTTTAAGAAAATTGAGTCCCACAACTGTGTGTCAGACACTGCTGTGCGCAATTGGCTGCCCCATTTCGCCCACAAAATATACAGTCAATCCACTTTACAGTATATTCTGTGCAGCGCTTTGAGGTGTTTGAATGACGTGATAAGCCGCTGAATCAAATGCAAGGATTATTATTACTAATTATTATGATGATTACTGTTCAAATATGGCAGCAAAGCCTACCATATTTTTTGTCGACTTTTCTGTATTTGAAAAGTCTACCAATATATATAGGTTTTCAAATTCATATTTTACAAAAAGATGATGTATATTTCTGATGGCTCTGTGTCTGATCACGAACCCCCTTTTTCCTGGTTTAATTCTCAATTTAACCATCGCCAGATGGCAAAGGCTTTCTCTTCACCGTGCGAGACATCAAGGACGGGGTCGTGCGCTATCACCACGACGACAGTGACACCACCAAGGACTACATTGTTTTCAGAATCTCCGACGGGAAACACGTGGCTCGACACAAGTTCCCAGTCAACATCCTGCCCAAGGACGACAGCCCTCCCTTCCTGATCAACAACCTGGCCCTCCAGCTCGCAGAGGGGGAGCTCCTGCCCATAGAGGACCACATGCTCCTTGCCTCCGACTTTGACTCCAGCGACGATTATATTCTGTACCGCATCACACACCCACCCAAAGCCGGGGATATAGTGAAGAAGACAGTCTCTGATCTGCCAGGTAAGGAAAGGCTGATGGTGTTAAAATGGTGTGGTTAACAACAATGACAAACTATATTTACATGGCGCCTTTCACGTCAGGAGGATGTTCCAAGGCGCTGGACGGTCAGGGAACCGCAACGGAGCTGGGGGTTGGGATCAGGAGGGAGGGTAGGGATTGGAGGGTGACTGAAGACGCGGTCAAGGAAAAGGGTCTTGAGACGGGGCTTGAAGGAGGCAAGGGAGGCAATGTAGATCAGAATCATCACTCAGCCCACCTGAACTTCTCAATCAACTAATTTTGTGGCTGGTGTCAGTCTTGTATTGGCATCAGTGTTCTTTAATGTTGTCAGATATTTGCTCGCCGGCAAATACCAAAGGCAGCTATGGAGGCTTAGGGGTATTTCATTTGTCGTATAAACGCTCTAAGTGAGTTAACGGGAACCGAACTTCAATGCAAACTTTTTGAAAAGATTTTGGAGAGGTCATGTGCCTTTCCTTCCACCTGGTTTGACGTCAGGTTCCACCATTGTTAAGCGCTCCGAGACTGCCCCACACGCATAAAGGCCGCTATTTAAATACAAATTGTTGTTGTTTTTGTGCCAGCCCGGCTCAGTCGGTAGCTCTCTCGCCTCTCGGTCACTAGGTTGTAGGTTGAAGCCCCACGTGAGGACTTGAACTTGTGGTCTACGCTTGATGTTTTGTTGTGGTGAGGGTGGGGGGGTGTTGGGGTTGCCATAGATCTGATCCTTCAGATGAGGTGAGGGAATAGCAAGCTTGTTTCACTGCCTTTTTGAACTTCATTCCCACAGGCCTTCCAGTGACCAGCTTCCTGCAGCGGGATCTTATCCACGGATTGATTTATTACCGGCATTCTGGAGGCGAGATCTTTGAGGATTCAGTAGTATTCGTTCTGTCTGACAGCCAGGAGCCTCCTAATCTCTCCGATCCTCAGGCGAGCTGCCCCAAGTAACATCCTGGATCTTAATTCTCAAAAGCATTAACCACCGGTGGCCACACTTTCAGCCACTATGCCCCAAAACTCTGGAACACTCTTCCTCTATCCCTCCATCTTGCCCCCTTCTTCCCCATCTTCAGGCCGCACCTGAAGACCTTCCTCTTCGACCGTGCCTATGGTTACCTCCCCCCTCCCTTTGGCTCGGCGTCATGCTCCACCGCTATCAAGCGCTCTGGGACGCTACCCTGCATGAGGGGCGCTATATAAATGCCAAGTTGTTGTTGCTGCTGCAAGGTTTTGCACAATGCAGAAGATCAGAAGAAGTGATGAATATTTACACTAAATATTGGACTGTCCATCAAACTTTGGAGAATAATTCACAAACAGTGATATTCTTGTTACTTAACAAGAAAAAACTCTTGTTTCTGCACTTATCAGGTCTCAGTCTGGCTCAGTTGGGAGCACTCTCGCCTCTTAGTCACAATGTTGATGAGTTCAAGCCCCACTTTGGTAGAGTCTGGAGTGGACATTCCAATACAGAGGTGGGGGTTCTTCACTTCTGTGGGCACCATCCTTCGGATGAGACATTAAACCAAGGTCCCCTCCGTGTTTATTTCGGGTGGATATTAAAACACCCACAGCAATATTGGAAGAACAAAAGGAGTCACTCCCAGTGTCCTGCCCAACGATCCCCAGATAAATTACTCATTCTTTCATAATAGTAATCCTGGCATTTGATAGCGCCTTTTCACGTCTTCGAGTTGTCTCAAAGCGCTTCACAGAATACACTGTAAATTGAATCGACTGTGTATTGTGTGGGTGAAACACGGCAGTCGTGTCCCACAAACAGTCGTGGTTGCTGTGTGTGGGACACTGTTCAAATTGGCAGCCGCTTTCACCTACAAATTATGCAAACACTACATTTTACAATACATCTTATGAAGTGCTTTGAAGTGTTCTCCAAGACTTGATGCTGCATCGAATGCGGGAGTTATTATTAACTTTTATTCTCTTTCAGACGATGATGGTTCATGTGACCCCCGTGAAGGACCAGTTGCCGAAGGAGGTTATCGGGACCACCCGCTCGCTGGTGGTGAAAGAGACAGAGATTGGTTACATCACCGAGGATCACCTGCACTTCACAGACACCGAGTCCCCAGAGAATGAGCTGATGTACATTGTCACAAAATCCTGCTTCTTCCCATTCAACCGAAAGTATGTTATTGAGATGAATGCCTTCTGCACATCCCTTGTCCCATTGGCTCCACCATCAGTGGCTGTTCTTTTAGTCACTACTGCCCAAAACTCTGGAACTCCCCGCCTCAGTCCTTCCACCTTGACCCCTCTTTGCCCATCTTCAGATCGCATCTGAAGACCTTCCTCTTTGACTGTGTCTAGGGTCACCTCCCCTCTCTCCCCAGTTTGGTGTCAAGCTCCACTGTTAAGTACTCTGAGGACCCTACCCTGCAATGAAGAATGCAATATAAATGCAAGTTGTTGTTGCTGTCAAGCCTTTTTGCCTAGGGATTAAATTATCATGTGCCTTTTCTTTGATTATCTTTTACTTCTCAGCTCTTGAGTTTATATGCCTTTCAGTGATTAGGTGTTAGACGGCTCAGTCAGTAGCACCCTCGCTTCTCAGTGACTAAGGTTATAGGCTGAAGCCCCACATTTGGTCTTTAGCTCACAGTCTAAGCTTGATGTTCCATTATGGTGCTGGTCAGAGTGGGGAAGAGCATCTGCAGATGAGACGAGACCCATCTGAGCTGTTCAATTGGTTGTTGAGAAGAGAAGGGAATGTCTCCTGCTTCCCTTTTCCTGCAAACTTCCAGATAAAATTGGTCCTGGCTCCCTGAGCTTGTCTATGCTTTGGTAGCCCAGTTGTTAGTCGATGGACAAATTGCTTACTGGTGTTGATAATTCCTTTAAAAAGAAATAGTAATGATGATTTGGTTGTCCAATCCATGACTGCTGTGTGCGATTGGTTGCTGGATTTCGCCCAGGGAATACACACTTTACAGTGTGTTCTGTGAAGCACTTTAAGAATTTCTCAATGACGTGATAAGGCACTATATCAATTGCAAGGATTATTTTTATTATTGTTATGATCACCACATGTGATGGTAATTGCCTTTGAGACATTTTGATGTTGTTAGACATGTGTCAAATGCATAGATTCTTATTCTTTTAAGAAGCAGATTGTCTTGTGTTACAGAAGGTACGACGCAGGGAAGATATTTTTCACAGGCAGTGTAAAGAACACGAAGAAAGACCCCTCTATCCCAATGTTGAAATCGTTCACACAGGTATCTGAAAACAAAGCAGATCACATTACCTGAGCGATAATTTCCTTCATTCACTGTATTTTATATATCAGAATTTTGGAATCACACCCATCCTCTTGGAAGTCCGGTCCCTGAGCCAGACAGGTCTTCAGGACACTGCTGATGTCCCACCAGCCCAGCCTGGCCTGTCAGCATGATTTGGATGGGCAGATCAGTCATCGAAGACTGGGATTTTCCCACTCAACTCCCAGTAACCCTGCAAGGCAAAGGCTTTATTTAGACCATAAAACCACACCCAAACAGGATGCTATGGCGTAATACCCCCTCCAGTGAAACCATCCCTCCTATCTCAACTCCCAGCTCTTATAGGTGTTAGTCTGGCTCAGTTGGTAGCACTCTCACCTCTGAGTCAGAAGTTATGGGTTCAAGCCCCACACCAGGCCTTTGACCTTGCAGTTTATGTTGACACTCCAATCCATTGTTGGGGGAGCGCTGCACAATCGGCGGTGCCATCTTTTTAGATAACACATTAAACTAAGACTCTGACTGCCAGTTCCCAGGGTGGACGTTATAAAGAGCGCTTACTTAAAATGAAAAAGGAGTTTCTACCGGTGTCCTTGCCAACTATCCCCTAGATAAACAATTATTCACTTCATGGTTCAAAGGGTAATTAGATAGGTACTTGAAAAGGAAAAATTTGCAGGGCTATGGGGAAAGAGCGGGGGAGTGGGACTGATTGGGTAGCTCTTCCAAAGAGCCAGCACAGGCACGATGGGCTGAATGGCCTCCTTATATGCTGTAATATTCTAAGATTCTATTGTTGTTCGTGGGACATTGATGTGTGAAAATTGGCTGCCGCATTTGTCTACGAATACATAGTCACTATGTTTCACAGTGAAATCCCGTGAAACGCTTTGAGACGTCTCCACGAGGCAATGATTATTATTTATGACTGGCATAACAGGTGCTGTAAAAATGCAAGTTTCTTCACTTTCCTCCTTGTTATTGGACTCAGACGTTGTCTCTCTCTTCGCAGCACGCGGTCAGACACATGAAGGTGGCCTACATGCCCCCGCAGGGAGACCTGGGCCCTGCTCCGCTGCTGGTGCAGTTTGTGTTCTCCGTCACAGATCAGCAGGGAGGCACAGTGACCGGCCTTGTCTTTAACATTACCATCATGCCTGTGGATGATCAGCCGCCAGAGGTATGGAGAGCCACACAACGTGGACCTCTGAGAAAGTCTAGTTTATTTATTTAAGACGCTGTTGTCTTGTCCTCTGTTCATTTTGATCTGTACCATCTGTTTAATCGCACACTTTCACCCCGACCCAAGACCACTTTATGTTAAGCATGTTGCACATTGAGTACATGAGACCAATTAGATTCACTCCAGCACCAACTGACAAGCTCCCTGGGCAGCTTATGAGGAGACAACATCGTTTAAACTCCTTTTCTCTGCATTAATATATATATATATTTATACTTTTTAAAAGTGGTGAATTATTGTAAGACACACACATCTTTATAGATCCACTATTATTTAGGAAATAATGTGAAGCAAGATGGACTTTAATAGCATTCTCTGTTACAGTGATTTCTTTTTCCTTACGATGTTGTCCAGGCGAGGGTCCAAGCCTTTAGCCATTCTCCGGAACCTTCTCCTAGGGCCCCTTTCGCCTTGTCCCAAAAACCCAGGCTCCCCCCCCACAGCCACAACCGTTGAAATGAAGTGTGAACAAATAACCGACTTCCGGGTCGTCAGGTCGCTGCGATGTCACTTCCTGTGGGCGATCTATGAACAGGAAGTGTTGCCAACATCATTTCCTGTGGCTGTGTGGATGTGGATGTCTATGTGGGTGCTATGCGCAGGAAATGGCATCATTTGGTAAGGTGGCCATTTTGTAGTGTGGGAAACCGGGGATTGTAGCTATAAACACCCGCACGTAAAACCAGGGCCTACCATAACACGGCTGCCCTGTATCTCTTTGCCTTCAGTCAACTTCTCTTCAGTTAAATTCTTTTTAGTTAAATTGCCTTTCTTCTCCTCCACGTTCCATGTCCTCCCTGCAAAGCATTTTGAGGCATTCATACAAAGCGGAGAGTGCTAACCTTCCCCCCAAACCCTCCTCACCACCCAGGAACGTGTTCTTATCACACACGAGGCATGTCAACGAGATTCTTTGTCCGCTGCATGTTAGATTTTCACCAACCAAATCAAAGCGGAGGAGGGCTCGGGGTGCCTCATCACCCAGGCAAACCTGATGGTGACGGACAGAGACACCCAGGACGAGGACCTTCGTATTCAGCTGCAGCGCAGACCTGAGCATGGAGAGGTCCAGGTGCTGGGCAACGTGATGTGGGAGGGCGACATGTTCACACTCCAGGACCTCAGATCCTTTCAAGTCCGGTAAGGACTGCAAGCTCTCTTCTCCCCCCAAGTTCCCCCCCACTTTTTTCCTGCATTTCCTATCATAATTCCTTCAAAAATTAATAATAATAAATTGGTCACTCAATCCACGACTGTTTGTGGGTCACTGCCGTGCGCAATTGGCTGCCAAACGACTAACAACCGGGCTCCTACTTTACTGCATGATAAACAAAGGCATGTGGAGTAAGGAAACTTGCCTTAGCTTTTGATTATTATTATTATTAACTGTTGTTTTGAGTCTGCCTTGTGATGGAGGGTTTAGCAGGTTCTGCCGTGTTGTACTAATTTCCGACACGGTTTCCGCTGTGTTCACAGGTACCAACATGACGATTCGGAGACCTTGTCAGATTCAATGGTATTCACAGCCACAGATGGCTTTAACACTGCAGATGGAGTGCTAACAGTAAAGGTAATGAGCGAAGACAAAGCATCAATATATATCGCAGCATATGGCAATCTAGCACAGGGTTTTATGTAAATCTATGGGAGAACAATGAAGTGTAGTTTAATTCCTGCGGGATCTGACAAATGGATTAAGCTTTCATGCTTTACACTGCATGTACAACCTAAAATATATCAGAGGAAGATTTTACAGAGTGCCTGGGGACTGTTTGACTGACATTAAGTCTGCCTTTCGTCTTATAGTATTATGAACATAAGAGATAATGCTTTCAGGAATTAGGTGAGCAGAAGAGGAGACAGAGTGAGAGAGTGAGAGAGTGAGAGAACTCCATTCCAGCCACAGGGATATTTCCATGAGTAGCTGCAACTTGCAGTCTTAAGCGAGAGATGGTTTTCCAACATGTGTCAGACAGATACCGGGCTGCCGAAGGGAGGAGGGAAGGGAGGCGAGGGAGGGAGGCGAGGGAGAGGGAAGAAGGAAGGAAGGAAGGAAGGTTTATAGGATTGTATCACGTCAAGACATCTCAAGTAATCACAAATTTGGCTGTCATTTTGCTCACAGCGCCGTCATTGGCACCAGCCTTCAGATGAGATGTTAAATCGAGGTTCTGTGCGCTTGTACATTTGGGCAGTAAAACATCCCAATTCAAACAGGGAAGAGATCCTGGCAACAACCCCCATATCCATCAGTTATTCACGTCAATACAACTGCAGGACCTTGCAAGTGCCAGAACCCCAGTTGTATTGATGTGAATGACTGATGGATTTCGGGAATTCCAGCATTCATCTCTAAATACACAGTCACGTCACTTGACAGTCATTTAGTATGTGGGGATGTTGCTGTGTGCAAATTGGCTGCCTTGTCACCAACAATCGATAAATATTAGGTCAGGTTATTAAGGAATATGGGGCAAGGGCGGGTAACTGGACTTGAGGTACTGATCAGCCATGATCTTACAGGCTCAAGGGAACGAATAACTACTCCTGTTTCTGTTTCTATGTTTCTGTGTTTCTACTAAATTCACAGTCACTACAGTTACTTCCTTACAAGTAATATTACAAGTAAATAGTTGTTCGAACTTGGAATGATCTGCCTGAAAGGGTAGTGAAGTCCGATTCGATAACAGCTTTTAAGAGAGAACTAGACAGTATCTGGGGAAGACGGGTTTGCTGGGTTATGGGGAGAAAGCTGCTGATTGGGGTTAGTGAAAGTGACGCTCTGTCAAAGAGCCGCACAGACTCGATGGGCCGAATGGCCTCCTTCTGTGCCGTAACATTCTATGAAAATGAATATCCCGTGAAGAGTTTTGAAACTCCCAATGATAGTGATTTTAAATGTAAAGATCTTATTATTATTGTTAATGGTAATTATGAAGCTCATTAAGACAGTAGACTATAGCCACATTCATTGTGTGCAAGTGCCTCGATTAGCCCATAAAATACACAGTCACGCACTTTACACTATATTCTCTGAAGCGCTTTGAGACGTCTCAACGGCATGATAAGGGGCTGTATCAAATGCAAGGATTATTATTATTTCTAAGTCTAGATGCCATTACTTGACATGTTAATGGCTGGTATATTCTTTGATCATTCATATTAATAATAATCCTTGTATTTGATACAGCGCCTTATCACGTCTTCGAGACGTCTCAAAGCACTTCACAGGATAGACTGTAAAGTGAATTGACTGTGTATATTTTGTGGGCAAAACACGGCAGCCAATTGTGCACAGCAGTGTCCCACAAACAGCCGTGGATTGAAGTGACCAATTTGGGTTTTTTTTTGCACCTTTTGGTGCAGATTATACCGATCAACGATGAGCCCCCAGAGTTGGGGCCAAGGCTGAAGTCCGCACTGCGCTGCCCCGAAGGGGAAAAGGTCACCATAACCACCGAGTACCTGCACGCAACCGACATGGACAGCGACGACATGAGGCTGAACTACATGATTGCCCGAGCACCATCGTACGGGGCCGTGCAAAGAGGGGGCGTCACTGTGGACAAGTTCTCACAGCTGGACATCAGCCGAGGCTTGATTTCCTACTGGCACACAGGTACTGACGATAATCCTTGTATTTGATACAGTGCCATATCATGTCTTCGAGACTTCTCAAAGTGCTTCACAGGATATACTATAAAGTGAATTGATTGCACATATTTTGTGGGCGAAACGCGGCAGCCAATTGCGCACAGTAGCGTCCCACAAACACTCGTAGATCGAGTAATCAAATTATGACTTTAAAACCTTTTTTTTACAGCCCTTACATGTGGAATTACACACAGCATTTCCCAAACAATTATAGGAGCAGAGACGTTGATCAGACCAACTCGTTCTGTTCCCACAGCCCAACTCTGACCCCAACTCCTTCTATTTTTGTTAGGTAAGGGTAAAGTGGAGAGCTGTAGCTCGGTGGTTAGAGCACCAGGCTTCGGGACCACATCACTCCCACCCTCGCTCGCCTCCACTGGCTCCCCATCCCCCAGAGGATCGAATTCAAGATCCTCATCCTCACCTACAAAGCCATTCACGGCCTCGCTCCCTCCTACCTCTGCTCTCGGTCTGCTCCACATCCCCCGCCCCAACCGCCCTACCATCGGTGGCCTTCAGCCTCTCAGCCCCGAGGCTCTGGAACTCCATCCCCAGTGCCTTTGCCGCCTCCTCCCTTTCCTCCTTCAAGGCCGATCTCAAGACCTTTCTCTTTGACTGTGCCTTCAGCTCCCCTCTTGACTCTCTACCCCCTCCTCGCTCCCTCCCTTCCCTCCGCTCACCCTGAACATTTCCCCACTGCTCGGGTCCCAACCCAACTGTACAGCGCCTTGGGACGTCCTCCCGACGTGAAAGGCGCTCTATAAATGAAATCTTGTTGTTGTTGTTTATAGGACACTGCTGGGCGCAATTGGCTGCCACATTTTGCCCACAAAAATACAATCAATTCACTTTACAGTATATTCTGCGAAGCGCTTTGAGATGTCTCCAAGACGTGATAAAGCGCTATATCAAATGCAAGGATTATTATTATTATTGGTACACTTACGCTCCTTAGATGGAGTTCGAAGTGATTTCACGCTTATGTTTCTGCATATTCTACCAAAAGAAAGACAATACAGTATCAAAATACATTCCTCCTTTTTGTCTCCAACACTCCCCCCACCGATCACCTCTATCCAGGAGGTGAAATAGGTTACAGTTCCCTTGTGGATACAGTGACGGTCATTGTCTCAGACGGTGAGGCGGGCACTGTGGACAGCTGCTGTTACGAAGGACCACTTCCGCCACCGATTCCGCTCCATGGCTCTCTCCCCGTCTACGACCTTAACATCACGATTCTGCCCGTCAACAATCAACCTCCGGCCGTTCATGTTGGTGAGTCAGTGAACACACATTGCCTTCAGGTGCCTCCATCTGTCTGAGCAGGGGGAACGGGGGGGGTGTTGGTGGTGGGCGGTTTGGTACACTGGCCTTTCACCTCTGGGGCCGAGCTTTGAATCAAGCTGAGTCCTGTAGCTCAGTGATTAGAGCACTCGCCTCGCAAGCGAGAGGACCCGGGTTCGACTCCCGGGCAGGGCGAAAAGGTAGGCAAGTTTCCTTACTCCACACGCCTCTGTTTACCCAACAGTAAGTAGGAACCTGGTTGTTAGTGAATTGGTGGATCGCTTTCTGGGAGTAATAATCCCTCAAATAAAAATGTGCTCACTCAATCCACAGTCGTGGGACACCTCTGTGCACAATTGACTGCCGCCTTTCAACAGCAAAATATACAACGAATCCACTTTACAATGTATTCTGTGAAGTGCTTTGAGATGTCTCAACGACGTGGTAAGTCGCTACATCAAATGCAAGGTTTATTATTGTTATTAAGCGATTGAATAATTTTCTTTAAAAAAAGAAAAATAGCCTCTCATTTTGCGCTGCGTGTGGCTGATGGTCTTATCATTGAAGGGGGAATGTGAGGTAGTCAAGCCTGGTAGGAACGGGAGACTTTGAAAGTGTGGTGGTGCGGAAGGCTGGTCAAGGTCACTGGTGATAGTGCAACCCATCTGCTAGCCTGTGTAGTCACGGCAAATATTAATGTACATGAACACTCTGAGGGAGTTCTTCATCCAAAGTTAAGATTCTGCAGAAATCATATGTACTGAGCACAGCTGGTAAACCCCATATGGTCACTGTTCGCAAACTCCCACATATAGGGTCTGATTTAAATAGATAATAATAATAATAATCCTTGCATTTGATACAGCGCCTCATCACATCTTCGAGACGTCTCAAAGTGTCTCACAGGATACACTGTAAGGTGAATTGTATATTCCACGCCAGCCAGCCAATTGCACACAGCAGTGTCCCAGATCGTTTAAAACGGTAAGGGGTTAATAAATCCAGAATTCTGCTATGCGTTAACCTGCGAAACCCATTTGGACTCGAAATGTAAGATTTGCTGGAATTCAGTCGAGCAGAATTGTTAAGTGTCAGTCTGGCTCAGTTGGTAACTCTCCAAGTCAGTAGGTTGTGGGTTCACGCCCCACGATGGGGGAACTTTGAGCTCACAGTCTAGGCTGACATTCCAGAGTGGCGCTGGGGGAAGCTCTGCATTGTCAGAGGTACCGTTCTTCGGATGAGGCGTTAAACTGACTGTGCCAGTTCAGCTGGATGTTTAGGATCCTGTGGGGCTATTCGAAAAGAGAAGGGAGTTTCGCCCAGTGTCCTGGCCAACAATCCCCCAGATAAAATTCCCCATTCACTTCTCATCTGTGTGCGGGACATTGCTATGTGCAAATTGGTTGGGGTCACATTCACCTACAAAACACACATCCAATGCAGTTCACAGTAATTCCTGCAAAGTGCTTTGAGAGACATCGTGACAAGGCATTTATAACAGAACAGTCCGTCAGGCTAAGACTGGGTCAAATTTCAGGTCTTGGATTTGCAAAGAAAAAAAAAATTGTTTTAATTTTTCTCTCTCAGAGCGCTCTGTCTGACTGGGAAACTTTCCATTTTAGCTGCTTTACGTTCCCTGCACTCCGGAGCATCTGTTTTGTGTGGGGTTTTTTTGTGTTTGTCTTAAGTCAATTGATTTAAAATGTGTGAAAATCTGAAGTCAATGCCAGTATTGGGGAAAAAAATAGCAGCTTTGTTCTCTATCTCCACAAACAGCTGGTAGCATTAAAGCCAATGTTTTAGAAAGCCTGCCCATCCGGAGTAACAAGTTTTCTAAACATCAAAAGGCTTGGAGAGGAATATGAATGTGTGGTGAAGCATTTTCTATTTCTAACAACCTGTCTAAAACGAGAAGGGAATTTCTCTCTCCTGGTGTCTTGGCCAACAATTTCCCAAAATAATATTGGTAATTCGCTTCATAGCTGTTTGTGGGGCATTGCTGTGCGCAATTGGGCTACTGCATTCGCCTACAAATCCACATTCACTCCATTTCACTAGATTCTGTGAAGCTCTTTGAGGCATCCTTCTGATGTGATGAGGCACTGTACCAAATGCAAGGATCGTAATACAACATCACAAGATCGATTTGAGTGAATCTCATTTGATCTCAAACTTCCAAAATGCCCGTCCTGCCGCAACCACGAGGCCGACATCCAACGAGGGTCCCACGTCCTAACAATGCGGGTAATGTCCCTCTTCCCCTTCACAGGAGAAATGTTTGTAGTGGATGAGGGCGGGAAGGCCAGCCTGTCAGAGAGGTATCTGAGCGCCACGGACAAGGACACCAGACCAGAGGAGCTGACCTTTGATCTGCAGAGCCTGCCACAGTTTGGGTACCTGGAGAACACTCTCCCGTCTCCCGGGTATGAGAAAAGCAACGCTGGAATCAACATAGGTAAAGACTTCCATCTCCTGGAGTGGGTTAGAGCGCTCACCTCGAAAGCGAGAGGACCCCAGTTTGTTTCCCGGGCAGAGGGCAAAACCTTAGCAAGTATCCTTACTCTACACACATGCCTCTGGTTACCCAGCAGTGAGTAGGAATCCGGTTGTTAGTCGATTGGCGGATCACTTTCTGGGGGTAATAATTCCTGTGCGCCTGTGCAATTGGCTGCCATGTTTCGCACACAAGAAGTATATACAGTCAATTTACTTTACAGTATATTCTGTGAAGAACTTTGACATGTCTCAACGACGTGATAAGGCGCTGTATCAAATGCAAGGATTTTTATTATTATCTCCTAGCACTTAGGCGCTGCCAATAACAACTTGCATTTGCACTGCGCCACTCACACAGGATAGCATCTTGGGGCGCTGGACAGTGGTGGGGTCGGATACTGAGCGAGGGAGAAGGGGGCGATGACCATAGGCTCAGTCTGAGAGATAGGTCTTAAGGTGGGAATTAAAGATAATAATAATAATCCTTGCATTTGATATAGCGCTTTTCACGTCGGGAGGACGTCCCGAAGCGCTTCACAGAACACACTGTAAAGTGAATTGACTGTATATTTGTGGGCAAACGCGGCAGCCAATTGCGCACAGCAATGTCCCACAAACAGTCGTGGATTGAAAATGACCAATTTATTATTGTTTTTGGTTTTGGAAGGATTATTATTAGGCTCTGTGTGGAGTAAGGAAACTTGCCCAAGGTTTCGCCCTCTGCCTGGAATTGAACTCAGGTCTCTCACTTGCAAAGCGAGTGCTCTAACCCCTGAGCTACAGGACTCCACAGATAGATAGAGAGGGTGAGGCAGAGGTTTTGAGGCAGAGAGCTCCAGAGGTGAGGGACATAGTGGCTGAAGTCTTACCACCGACCAACCTAATTTTTGAAGATGTCTTTCAACCACATTTTCTTAAAAAGTACTGTTTGTACCTCATTCTAAATCAAAGAATGTTATTCTTTATGCTTTCACTCTCCCCCACTCCCACCCCCACCGTGTCGCCCATTCTTAATACTGATTTTAATTTTAATCCACATAATATCGGAAGTCATCAGGGGACGGAGGATTTGTTACAGTCAATGGAAGGATAATTAAAATAATCATTGAGCTTTCTTCCTGAGCGCTCAACTGTTTCTGCTGGATTTTAACGGATTATCGCAATAGGATTAGGGATTGAGTGTGTGTGCTGACAGTCAGGCTCCAAATCCAGGCCTGAGCCTCGGATTATGTAACATTGTGAGATGGTTTCGAGGTGGGATTCAAGGCGATATCTGCTACTAAAACCCTCTGCTGTCTTTGCCTGATACGGGCAGTGATGGGAGGGAAGGGTGATGGGCTCCAGTATCTAAATTGATTTAGTCCTGTAGCTCAGTGGTTAGAGCGCTCACCTCGCAAGTGAGAGGACCCGAGTTCCTTAGGAAAGTTTCCTTACTCCACACGCCTCTGTTTACATAACAGTATATAGGAACCCGGTTGTTAATCGATTGGCGGATCGCTTTTCGGGGATAATAATCCCTTTTTTAAAAAAAAGTAAAATAATTGGGCACTCAATCCACGACTGTTTGTGGGACGCTGCTGTGCGCAATTGGCTGCTGCGTTTCACCCACAAAATACACAGTCCGTGTACTTTACAATATATTCTGTGAAGCATTCTGAGATGTCTCAACAACATATCTATATCAATTGCAAAGATTATTATTGTCTAAGTTGGATAAAATGTAAAACTTTAACCTTGATGACTTTCCCTGCAATTCACTGATGTCTTTGATGCTCACGTACAAACCGCACAGTCACTACACTTTTCCAGTAAAAATAATGTGAAGAACTTTGAGACGTCCTCCCGATGTGAAAGGCACTGTATCAAATGCAAGGGACTGTGATTAATATATATTTTTTAATGTTTTCAATCACCTGCCTTCCCATATCAGAGAGGTGGGTGAAACTGTGTGAAGCACTTTGAGACGTCCTCCCAACGTGAGAGGCGCTGTATAAATATACATTTTTATACGATTGAAATGTTTATATCCAGCGTTCTCTGGTCGTTGGTCTGTACAAAGCTTTCTGAGGAAAGTAGTTTTATACTTTGAACGACAGAATTTTCGAAGACAATATGAAGATTACCTCGTCCAGACTTTGAGTCTCAAAAAATGATTAACATGCTCACATTTGTATAAGGATTTCAATAGCCAAATTCGGATCAGAGCCCCGGAATTTCTCACGTTCTTAGCCTTAAGACCATTGTCTTAGAATGTAAGATTTTGGAGAAAAACCTTAAAGAGCTTTAACATCAGTCTTAATTTGAAAGCCAATTTTCCGCAGTTCCTAATCGGCTTCCAATTTAAGGCTGTTCCCCAATATTCCACCTAATCTTGTATTTGTAAAACCGTAGGTTTTAAGGCTAAGAATGAGAGATATTTCGGGCTTCAATTGATTCCTTAAAGAAGCATTATGCTGTTGTCACGAAGGTGTGCAGCCGGGAGCTGCAGCTCCATCCCCCGGCCTGGCACAGAGCGCGGAGATTATTCACCTCACTAGAGGGCAAGTGATGTGCTGACAGAGAGAATGTGGTTTCCTTTTGGGGAGAGGATCGTGTGTTCTAAGTGAATTTGTGTTCTGTGTTTGTGAGGGAGTGTGATTGTGTTTGTGTGTATACGTGTATGTTGTGTGTTGAGTGTGCATGTGTATTTGCTGTGTGAATTGAGTGTATGTGTTGTGCGTGTGAGCATGTGTGAGCATTTGTATGTATCAGTGTTGTGCAAGTGTGTGCGTGCGCGTATGCGTGCGTGAGTATGCGTGCGCGAGTGTATGCGTGCGCGAGTGTATGCGTGCGCGAGTGTGTGCGTGCGCGAGTGTGTGTGCGCGCGGGTGTGTGTGCGAGCGGGTGTGTGTGCGCGCGGGTGTGTGTGCGAGCGGGTGTGTGTCCGAGCGGGTGTGTGTGCGAGCGGGTGTGTGTGCGAGCGGGTGTGTGTGCGCGCGGGTGTGTGTGCGAGCGGGTGTGTGTGCGAGCGGGTGTGTGTGCGCGCGGGTGTGTGTGCGCGCGGGTGTGTGTGCGCGCGGGTGTGTGTGCGCGCGGGTGTGTGTGCGAGCGTGTGTGTGTGCGAGCGTGTGTGTGGGTGCGAGCGGGTGTGTGTGCGCGCGGGTGTGTGTGCGAGCGGGTGTGTGCGAGCGGGTGTGTGTGCGCGCGGGTGTGTGTGCGCGCGGGTGTGTGTGCGCGCGGGTGTGTGTGCGCGCGGGTGTGTCTGTGAGCGGGTGTATGCGTGAGCGAGTATGTGTGTGAGCGCTTGTGTGTTGTGCACGACTGCACACAATTGCAAAGCCAAAGTGGTTTGATCCAATCTGTCCCTTTAACAGTGTTGTTCAGTCTGCAGCATCTCAAGGCGGGCTCCATCAACTACGTCCAGGCTAGACATGAGCAGATGGAGCCGACAGCTGACCACTTCCTAGTATCTGTCAGTGACGGGATGCAGGAATCCAGGGCCATCCCGTTTTACATCATCATTAACCCATCCAACGACGAAGCCCCCGTCCTGCAAGTGGGGAACATCACGGTAAATGGAGATTAGAATCTTGGAATATTACAGTGTAGGAGGAGGCCATTCGGCCCATCGGGCCTGTGCCAACACTTTGGAAGAGCCACCCAATCAGTCCCACTCCCCCGCTCTCTCCCCATAACCCCTGCAATATTTTCCTTTTCAAATAAATTAATAATAAATAATAATAATCCTCGGATTTGATACAGCGCCTTATCACGTCTTCGAGACGTCTCAAAGCGCCTCACAGGATATACTGTAAAGTGAATTGACTGAATATTTTGTGGGAAAAGTACTTATCTTCCCTTTTGAAAGTTGTTATTGAATCTGTTTCCACCGACCCTTTCAGGCAATTATCTTAAATCTCTGTGCCCTGGTTACTGACTCACCCGCCAGTGGAAACACTTTCTCCCGATCTACTCTTATCAAAATCCCCTCATAATTTTGAACACCTCTATTATATTAGTAGAAAATAACAAAACCGTCACTTTAATAATAATCCCTCAAAAAAAATTTGACCGCTCAAATCAACGACTGTTTATGGAACACTGCTGTGCTCAATTAGCTGCCGCGTTTCGCCCAGACAATACGCAGTCACTCCACTTTACAGCATATTCTGTGAAGCGCTTTGAGTGAGGTGATAAGGCGCGATACCGAATGCAAGGATTATTATTTTTATTTATTCATCTCGCTTTATTCTCTTCCCCGTTGTATTTGTTCATTTATTGTGGGGTGGGTGTGGGGGTGGGTATGGGTGTGGGGCGGGGATGGGGATGGTTAAGGCAGAGGTGATACTTCACCCAACTGTTCTTTCAGTGATGTGAAAGGAGACTCTCGGATGTGATGTTCAGTGTAAGTTATTTAGTTATTCCCCCACCCTCCATTTGCAGGTCGAGTCTCAGCTATAATGTGCTGTAATAGTATGTCACGGTTCCATTTATAGAGCGTTTGCGTGCTGTGTGTTGGAAGTGAGTTACCCTTCATCCTCGCCTTCTGTGGGCGCAGGTCACAGGAAGTAATGTCAGCAACGACCCGACAGACCGGAAGTGCTGACCTGCAGCCATTTTTACAGTGTCCTTGTTATAATGGGGGGAGGGGGGGGGCACAAGTTTATGTACCCTCTCCTTCCCCCCGCACCCCGCCACCCACCACCCCACCCACCGCCCTTGGCCTGTGTGTAATAGAAAGTAAAGTGCATCCACTTGATCACGTGTGCTGGACACCACCCACCTCCCCCCCACTACCCACACACACGCCAGTCAAGGATCCATCCTGCTGACTGACAAGCCGGCATTAGTTACAGGTGCGTGAGAGGGAGAGTGACTCCATAAGGTGCGTTACAGAAACCCACATCTGGAGCAAGCCTGCGGAGCCATGGGCAGAAATAGCCCATCGTTGCTTCATCACACAGCAAGGCCCAGCTGGTGCTCCCAGCAGATGCCTCTCACACTCCACATCCAGGAGTCTTTTACGCTGAAAGCCTTTCCCCTGCACTGTCCTCCTCCAACACCAGGAAACAGTGCCTGCTACAGTCGCTCGTGGTTCCTGACTGAAGCAATGGCCTGTTGTTATTGTCTTCCTCTGCACTCAGCCTGGCCCAATTGGCAGCAGTCTCTCCTCTAAGCCGTTACATGTCTTGAAGTGAATGACCAATTTTATCCGAAGGGTTGTTGACCAGGACACAGGGAGAAACTCCTTTCACTCTGCAGGGCATGTTGGTTTTCGCAGCCACCAATGGTGGGATCAGAGATGGTAAGAACTAAAAAAAATGGATCTGTAGCGTTCAAACGTTCAAATACACATTTTGGAATTTTTAATCTAAATTTTTTTAAATCTAAACTTTTAACCTAAATTGAGCTTCACTCAATTGGTCGCACTCTCGTCTCTGAGTCAGAAGATTATGTGCTCAAATTTGTTCTGTTCAGGTGGATGTTAAAGAGAAGGGAGTTTCTCTCTCCCAATGTCCTGGTCAACAATACCCTCTAGGTATTGCTGTGTGCAACTAGACTGTCATGTTCGCCCACAAAACACACGGTCACTTCACTTCACAGTAAGTGCTGTGAAGCGCTTTTGAGACATCCTCCCAACGTGAAAGGCGCTGTAACAAATGCTTGAATAATTTATTGTCCCCATTTATTATCCCTGGTTGGAAAGAGCTTTGGAACGTTGATCACACGTGAAGGGCACTGTTGTTGAGCTCAAGTTGCCGTCGGCGATTTGCAGCAGCATTTTGAAGAATTAATGGACCATCTCGTTCGTACTTTGTACAGGTAATGGAGGGTGACATGTGCCAAATCGGACCCGGAACATTGAGCTCTGCGGATCTGGACTCTCCTCCCGATAACCTGGGGTTCTCCGTGGTTAGGCCACCCGTCCACGGGAAGCTTCTGAACGCACTCTACGGCGAGGAGGTGGTCAGATACAGACAGAGGAGCGGTGATCTTCTGCACCGTGTGCTGACAGTCAACAGCTTCAGTGGGGAAGAGATCAAGCGAGGTCCGTGTAGAGTGTGCTCCAGGCGCCCCCCGCTGGACACCGTGTGTCATTGCAATGTAGCAGCGCAGGTGTGACCATTTCTCACGCTGGAGGGAGTTGAGGGATTCCGTTCGCTCCTTCCACGCACAGCGTAAAACATGTCGTTTTGAGTCCTGTGGAAAGCTCCTCCGTTGACCTAGTGGGTAAAACGGAGAGCGTAAACCACAGAGGCCAGGAGATGGCAGGTTCGAGGTCCGGCCAGGGCAGCGATTGAGTGTCTGCAGTTGACCTCAGTGCTTGTGTGACAGGGGGCAAACCAAGGAAGTGCAGTCCTCACCTACAAACACACAGTCACTACACTTTACAGAAATCCTGTGGAGCACTCTGAGACGTCCTGACGTGAAAGGTGCTGTATCATCTGTAAGGGTTATTATTGCAGTAGCGTCTGACCAAAGCAGTGAGTATCATATACAATATTTACTCCAGGGTCCTGTGTACTATTATACAGCACATATCTGGATTGCTTTATTCTCTAATAGGCCTCCTACATGTTTATAAGGAGCTCAATGCTGGTAGAAGATAGGTTTACAGGGTGCTGCGCAGTTTTATGCAGTGAGTGAGTGAGCGAGTGCAACTTTAGAAGCAGGCTGTGGGTTTTCATGGAGTACCATGTGATTTTGTATGTTCGCGTTAGCCCTTTTCTCTCCCTCCCATACTTTGCTTCGTTCACTTTCTCCCATTGCTCACGCAGGATTGAGGCTCGCGTATGTGCATGACGGCTCGGAGACCCTCAGAGATAGCTTGACCTTGCAGCTGACCGACGGCAAGCATGTGGTGTGGGGGACATTACACATCAACGTAACGCCCGTCAATGACGAGATGCCAGTGGTTTTAAAGTAAGATTCAAGCAGAAGCAGTTGATTCAACTCTTATTCAACAGCGGCCTTTTAATGAAGATAACCCTCGGGTTCCCTAATGGTTATTTCTGTTCTCTCGGTCTAGTCAACAGGCTGACACTCCAGTGCCATGCTGGGGGGAGTGTTGCATTGTCAGAAGAGGTGTTAAAAGAGCCCCATGACACCATCCGTAAATTCCCAAGGAGTTTCTCCCTCCCGACCTGATGTTCTGGCCAACAATTCCCTGAAGTCCAAATCAGTCATTCTCTTCTTGGCTGTCTGTAGGACATCACTATGCGCGCATCACACGGCTGACGTGTGTGCCTGCAAAACACACAGTCACCGCGCTTTACAGTAAAACAGGTAAAGCGCTTTGAGATGGCCTCCCAGCGTGAAAGGTCCTGTATTAAATACAAATGCAAATCGAATGCAAGGATTATTATTATTGTAATCTGCCGCGCAGTGACTCCTGCTTGAAAATGCATGATTATGGTTGTTGGGTATGGACAGGAATGGGGTGTCTCCTCCCTTTGACCAGACTCCTTGTGTGAGCCGACACCGAAAGCGATCCACTGGGTTCCTTCTTACTGCTGGAGAAACAGAGAGGTGTAGTGCAAGGAAACTCGCCCCACCCGGGAATCGAATCCAGGTCCTCTTGTTTACGTGGCGAGTGCTCTAACCATCGCCCTACGGGACTCCCCGTGGCAAACGAGACTACAGGAAATTAGATAGTTTGGGGGAGGGGAGGAAGGAACAACAACAACAACCTGATCACTATTCTCGTTCAGGAACACTGGCTTGGAGGTAGATGTGGGAGAGAATAAGGTGATCTCTAGCGTGGCTTTGGAGGCTGAAGATAGGGACACGCCACGACACAAGCTTCACTACATCATCAACAGCATCCCGAAGTTTGGCCAGCTGCAGCTAAAGGTAAGAGATGGAGCCTTGCTTTGGGGAATGATTTCTTCACCATTCCTTCAAAGGGCCTTACCGTGGTCAGAGCTCCGGGAAAAGTAATTTAAGGCCACCAAACCTCATCCCACCAATGTAATGTGTTTGTTACAAAAAGGAGCAGCGGATTGCAAGGAGATAAGTAATAAATAATAATCCTTGCATTTGCTGTAGGGCCTAATATTGACGCTGAGACGTCGCAAAGCACTTCACAGACTATACTGTAAAGTGGAGTGACTGTGTATTTTGTGGGCAAAACGCGGCAGCCAATTGCCCACAGCAGCGTCCCACAAACAGCCGTGGATTGAATGACAATTTTTTTGTTGAGGGATTACTACCACCGAAAGAGATGAATGCTGTGTTCAAAATGATGGAGATAAATTTGACTTACCCCTAAATTAGTACCCATTATCATTATCACACCACGGTTGGCGATTTGTCTCCCGTTTGTGCTATAAATGGGCAAGATGTGAAAAAAGGGGGTTGCGGGGGGGGGGGGCAATTAGGAAGAGTGGAAACTCATGTGGGGTATGGCATGACATGGACTGGTTGGGCCAAATAGGGTTTCAAGTAGCTCAATGGTTAGAGCACTCGCCTCGTAAGCGAGAGACCTGGGTTCGATTCCCGGGCGGAGCAAAACCTTAGGCAAGTTTCCTTACTGCACACACCTCTGTTTAACAGCAGTCAGTAGATTGTTAGACGATTGGCGGATCGCTTTTCTGGGGGTAATAATCCCTTATAAAAAAGAACATGACAAAAAATAATAAATTGGTCACTCAATCCACGACTGTTTCTGGGACGCTGCTGTGCGCAATTGGCTGCCGAGTTTCACCCAGAAAATACACAGTCAATTCACTCTACAGTGTATCCCGTGAAGCGCTTTGAGACGTCTAGAAGACGTGATAAGGCGCTGTATCAAATGTAAGGATTATCATTATTATGATTATTATTCAGACGCATTCCTTTTGCCCAGACTCAGTGGCAGTGGATGGTTGTGTATCCGGGGATGAACTTCACTCAGGATGACGTGGACATGAACCTGGTCTGGTATCTGCACACCACCATCGTGGGGTCAAAAGGCCACGACAGCTTTCGCTTTTACGTGACGGACGGCGAGAACTCGTCCCCTCCGGAGAACTTTTACATCTCGATAAAGGAAATGGAGAAAGGCAAGTCACCCCACCTTCACATACACCTACACTGCACAGGAAAATAATCCTAATGATACTTGCATTTGATACAGCACCTCGTCACATCGTTGAAATGCCTCAAAGCGCTTCACCGATTATATAGTAAAGTGGAGTGACTGTGTATTTTTGTGGGCGAAAGGCGGCAGCCATTTGCGCACAGCAGCGTCCCACAAACAGTCCCGGATTGAGTGACCGCAATTTTTTTCTGGAGGGATTATTACCCCCGGAAAGCGATCCGCCAATCCACTAACAACTGGGTTCGTACTTATTACTAGGCAAACAGAGCCGTGTGGAGTAAGGAAACTTATGTAAGGTTTTGCCCTACCCGCAATCAAACCCGGGTCCTCTCGCTTGTGAGACAAGCACTAAGTTACACAACTCCACGATCCTGTACGGAGCTATGGAACGCCTCAGGATAGGGCACTGTATGAAAGCAAGGATTTATTAATACTATTAGAGGATGATAAATAACAATACTTGCTTTTGATGTAGCGCTTTGTCACATTGTCGAGATGTCTCAAAGCGCTTCACAGAATATAATGTCAAGTGGAGTGACTGTGTGTTTTATGGGCAGCCAGTTTCCGCACAGCAGTGTCCCACAAACAGCCATGGGTTGAGTGACCAATTTTGTTTGGGGGATTTGTTGGCTAGGACACCGGGAGAGACAACTCCCTTCCCTTTTCGAAGAGTGAAGATGCACATACAACAACAACAACTTGCAATTATATAGCACCCTTCACATGGGGCAGAGTCTCAGAGCACTTTCAGCACTACAGCACTGCAAATGCACATTGGGACGTCCTCCTGACATGAATGGCACTGTGTAAACGTAAATTTATACAGTGCCTTTTACACCTCAAAGAATACTGGATCCAATCACATCTTCCAGACTGAGGTGGATAGCTATTTGTTAAGTCAGGGTATTAAGGGACATGGGGCAAAGGCGGGGAATTGGACATGAGGTACAGATCAGCCGTGATCTTATAGAATGGTGGAACAGGCTCGAGGGGCTGAATGGCCACCTCCTGTTTCTGTGTTTCTATGTTTCTAAAGCCCTGACTGGGGGCCTGAGCGGTCTGTGTGTGCGCGTGGGTGCGCGAGTGCTAGTTTCTAGTTAGTTCCTTGAAAAGTAGCATAAGGTCTCAGGATGCCAGAGCAGCCACGAAGAGTTAATCCATGTCGCTGGCTTATTGATGTGTGTTTTTTTGTATATCACAAATTGGCTGCATTTAGCACAACACCAGCTGCAAACAGTGCTCAGAACCCCATGTGTTCAGCTTAATGGGCTCTGGCACGTGCCTCAGTTTAAAGGGACTGCGTTGTGTTGCATCGAACTGCTCTGTTCTCGGTGCCGTCACTGACCCCTGTCACCTCAGGGACGGCTTGATGGGCTGATGCATCGCCTACAACTTGAGTTTAAGCCGTGATCGATGGCGGCCGGGTTAGAAAATCTGGTACAAAATTTCACTCTGGATACAGGGTTGGCCGTTGAAAGGTTCGGGGTGTGTGGCGAGCCAGAGTCACCAGGGGCTGATTGATGCAATAAGAAATAGGAGCTGCCATCGCTCTCTCTTTTACTCTCTTTTTTTCTCTTTTTTTCCCTCTTTGTCTTTCTCGCGCTCTCTCCCTTTTTCTCTATTGTCTCTTTCTCGCAATAGTTCTCTTTGTCTCACTCTTCTCTCTCTTTTTCTATCGGATGTTTTTCTTTCAGTCTCACTTTTTCTCATTTCTCTCTATTTTTCTCTCTCTACCTCTCTCTCTTTTTCTCTCTCCTCTCTTTCTCTCTCTCTCTCTCTCGAGGCTTTCCCTGGCACCACTCTCTGATAAACATTTTCAGCCACAACTGGTGAGAATGGGGTGGGGGTGGGGGGAGAGCGCCATCTGCAAACTGTAAATCCTAAAACATTTACACAATCTGCCTCTCCGCACTGACAATGGGGAGTTCATAAAATCAAAGCCACTCTGTTAAATGCAATCGGAGGTCTGCGTTTTACCAATTAAATGGAGCTAAGTCATCACTAACACAGCTGAGGCCATGTTTGTCGGTGACAATATCCGAGACTGTTGGTGTGGGTGTGTGTGAGAGAGTGTGTGTTTGTGAGAGTGTATGTGTGTGCGCGCGTGCGTGAGAGAGTGTGTGCGTGAGAGAAAGGGTGTGTGCGTGAGTGTGTGTGTGTGTGTTTGTGAGAGTGTATGTGTGTGCGCGTGTGTGTAAGAGTGTGCGTGTGCGTGAGAGAGTGTGTGCGTGGGAGAAAGGGTGTGTGTGTGTGTGGGTGAGTGTGTGAGAGAGAGAGTGTGCATGTGCGTGCGTGAATGTGCGGCCTCCTTCACTCTCATCTATCCTCTCCCTCTCTTTTATCACAGGTGACATTGTTGTGTTGGCCAAACCTGTAACTTTAACAGAAGGTGACAGGGTCACCTTGACGACAGATGTTCTCCTGGCAACAGATGGCACTGGCAAACCCGAGGAGCTGCTGTTTGCCATCTCTGTGCCACCTGCGCATGGTCAGATCCAGTACATCAATTACCCCGGCTTGGCTGTTTCCAGCTTCAGCCAGTTGGATGTGGCAGCCCAGAAGGTCTGCTATGTGCATGACAACAGTCATGAGGGCAGCCAGGACAGCTTCAGGTAATGCCCCCCCCCCCCCCCACCCCCGCCAACCCTACCGCAGCCCCCAGCTCAGTGCACACTCTCTAGATGTTTTCTTCTTAGAACATACGCACACCCCTCGCGCACGAGCACACACGCACCCCACACACACACACACGCACGCGCGCCCGCGCCCTCACACCCACGCGCACACACACGCACGCGCGCACGCGCACACCGTTTACGGAGAGTAAATTGTAAATTGAGAATTTACATCCACTTAACACGTTGTCCTGTTTTATTGATCACTTCCCATAGCGAAACGCCGATACCGACGGTGCGTTTCACTACAGGAAGTGATCACCGAGAGGAAATCAAGTCTATAGGAAGTGATCAGTTATAGGAAATCACATTTATCGGGGTGTGATTTCTAAAACCTCTAGCGCGGACACGATTCAATGCATCGCATTCAAACTGCGGCAAAATGGATGGATTCTCTCGGGAGACAAACAGAGTCCGGGGGAGAGAGGGGGGCGGTGGGTGGAGGGATGTCTGAGCCCTGTGACTGTGATGCAACAGAGGACGTATTTCTCTCTCTTTCTCTTCCTCTCTCTCTCTCTCTCTCTCTCGTGGATGTTTATCTCTTTTTGAAGTTAGCACCGTCTGTCTTTACGCAGTGCCAAAGCTCCCCATCAGACACGCTATAATTCATTCCTAGAGATTTCTTTTTTGGAACTGATCTGGTTCCAGGTGATTTATTAAATTGCTTTGTATTGTGCTACACTCCTAAACCTGTCCATCTGTTCGACGGCTCCTAACCTGCAATCTGTCTGCACTTTGTAGCGAGACAAAGTGTCAGAAGGCGGCAGGCACGCCAAGGCACTTGACAATTCTACCTCGGATTAGATTAATACCAGTTGTGACAGATTTCTGCAGCTTGAAAAAGAGATGCAAAAAAAAGTCTTATTAGACTCCCCCCCCCCAACACCACCTCCGTTGGCACTGATCGGTTTAGACAGACAGACGGACGGACTCAGAAAGCTGGGCGCGAGAGATAGAGAAGGATTCACCCGAGTAAAAGGAACAGAGAATGGATCCAGTTGCTTACGCACAATGCGGTTTTGAACCAAATTTCAAAGAGAGAGAGAGAGAGAGAGAGGGGCCGGGGGTGGAAGGGGAAGAGAGTGAGGGGGAGGAATCTGGGTCCGTCAAAAACGCTCAGAAGGTTAAGGAATCATCCCGTTATCGGCAATTGGGGTAGGCCGATGAATTGGCCAAGTGAATTGGTGTGTGGGGGGGAAATTAACAGGGGTGTTGCCATTTGTAGGGCTATTTAAACGATGTCTTCTCACCAGTAGGATGATGGATGATTAACACACTGACTAGTCTTGGCACCGTCATTCACGTTTAGAGTTGGAAGAGCCTTTTCATGGGGATTGATTGGGATAATTATACGGCAAAAAAACACGAGGCTTCCCAACAGATGCTGGGTCAAGTGCACCAAGTTAACATGCTTTTTTTGTTCTCTCTCATTTTAAAATCTCTTTTTTTTTTCTCCTCCTCTCTTCCCTCATCCCTCCTTCTTCGCTCCTCCCAAAACCTCCTCTCTCGGCCCCTCAACCGTCTCTCCTCTTCCTCCATCTTCATCTCCCCCATCTTCTTCCTTCATCCTCCTCTTCCTTCACTCTTCTCTGACTTCATCCTCCTCTCCTTCCATTCTCCTCTCCCTCTCTTTCCATCGTCTCCCTCCATCCTCCTCTCCCTCCTCTCCTCTTCTCGCTCTACCCTCCTCCTCTCCCTCCATCCTCCTCTCCTCCACTCCCTCTACCCTCTTCTCCTCTCCCTCTAATCTCCTCTCCTCCTCTCCCTCTACCCTCCTCTCCTCTTCTCCCTCTATCCTCCTCTTCCTCTATCCTCCTCTCCTCTGTTCCCTCTATCCTCCTCTTCTTCTATCCTCCTCTCCTCTGTTCCCTCCATCCTCCTCTCCCTCTATCCTCATCTCCTCCCCTTACAGGTTTCTGGTCAGTAATGGATTAACAGTCACAAATGGTTCCCTGCAGTTCATCATTGAGCAAACAGACCACCTCCCACCAGTGCTGATCAGCAACAAAGGCCTTCAGGTGCCAGAAGGAGCCACCATGATAATCTCCCCCGATACCCTGCGGCTCACAGACCCCGACACGTCCTCCGCCAACCTCACCTTCACCATCACCCGCCCCCCCCACCACGGCACACTGCGCCTGGAAGGCAGAGTTCGCTCCCCGGAACGTTTCACTCAGCTGCAAGTCAGTAATCTGGATGTCTCCTACAAGCACGATGGTCAAGCCTCCGGGCTCGACAGCTTTGCCTTCGTAGCCTCTGATGGCACCAACCGGGGCTTTATGGTCAACGGGCAACTGAGAGAAGAGCCTGTGACATTCACCATTCAGGTATGTGGGTTTCAATCCCCACACAGGGGATGCCCAGACCACGTGGGTATCAGTGGATCTTGTGGAGGAGGCTCTGCTTTAACCCAGACCTTAAGGAGTCAGCCTGGCTCAGTCGGTAGCACTTTCTCCCTTCAGCCCAGTTGTATCTGGGGGGGACTGTCGGCCAGGACACTGGGAGCAGAAACTCCTTTTACTTGTTTAGCAGCGCCATGGGTTGCTTAACGTCCACCTGAACAGGAATCGATGGGCCCTTGGTTCAACATCTCATCCTCTTCTCTGACAATATAATAATAGTAATAATAATAGTAATAATAATAATCCATGCATTTGATATAGCGCCTCATCGCACAACACTTCCCCCAGCAATGCACTGGAACGTCAGCCTGGACTACGGGGGCTCAAACCCACAACCGTCTGACTGGGGCGGGGTGGGGGGGGGGGGCGTGAGAGAGAGCGCTACCGACTGAGCCAGACTGAGACTTTCAGCCCAGAAGAAGACCCAGCTTGCTCACACCACCTCTACCTTTTTAATTCTGTTTTTCCCTTATTTACCCCAATTTCCAATGCTTCCCCACCCACGTCACCGAGTGGTTTTCTATTTACTTCTCAAGCGCTTTTCCACAACTCCTTTGAACAATTCCTTTCATTCGGCTTTAATATGACAGCAACTCGTGTTGATGAATCCCACAGCCTAACAGCCCTCCTTCTTCACTCTCTTCATTGAACATCCACAATTATGAAGGGTGGGGGGCGTTGTTTTAACAGAACTGCCTCAATATTGTAACTACAACATTGAGAGGAATGAACTGTGGAACCGTTTGCTTTTATCGCCTGTGTATATATATTTTTTGGGTTGGGGAGGTGGGCTCACGCTTGCTTAATTAACGAACTCATGTCCTGGGACCCACGAGGCATAGGAAAGGCTTTTAATGCAGATTAATAAGCGATGTCCATTAAGCCCTCAGTCACACATCAATAATTACTGCTTTTACCATTGCGCTGAGTTAACCCTTTCAGGACCACCCTGCGGATCCAGCGCTTTGCTTCCCTTCGGCGAATACAGCAAAGAAAGCCTCCGTGTGCCTGTCCACCTATTAGTCAGTTTCCTGAAGCCTATTCGCTCAAGGGATGAGAATAGGTAAGCATATTCCCTTGACGTTGGCTACGCGTCAAGGGAATTTGCTTATTATTAAGTTCACCACCATGATAAAGTGTAGTGCCTGCGTATTTTGTCGGCTAACATGACAGCCCAATTGCGCATAGCAATATCCCAACAAGAGCTGTAAAGGGTAAAGTGACTGTGTATCTGTAGATTAATGCAGCAGCCAGTTTGTGCACAAAAACAATGGCCCGCAATCAACCATGAAGTGAATGACCAATTTTCTATCCAGGGAATTGTTGGCCTGAACACCTGGGAAAAAACACATTAGTACAAAATGAATGACCAATTTTATCTGAGGAGTTTGTTGACCAGGACACCGGGCCAGAGAAACTTCCTTCTCTTTTTTGGGTGGTGGTCCAGGATCCTTAATGTCCACCTGAACAGGCAGACGGGACCTCTGTTTTACATCCCATCAGAAGGACGACACGTCCGACAATGCAAAAGCCATTCTGCCCCTGCTGTCTGGAACTCCTATCTGGGCAGCCATCAAAGTCGCCCATCAAATACACAGTCCATCCATCTCACAATATATTCTGTGAAGAGCTTTGAGATGTCTCGACAACGTGACAGATATGTCAACTACAAGGATTTTTATTATATTATAAAATTCCCGATGCACTTTTCAAAAGGAAAGAAGGAGTTTCTTTTTCCCAGCGTCCTGACTGATAACATTTCTTTATTCACTTCGTGGCTGCTAGTGGGATATCATTGAACGCAAAATGTCTGCCTACAAAGTACACAGTCACTTTGCAAATCCCGCAAAGTGCTTTGAACGATCATGAAAGGCTGTATTAAATACAAAGGATTGTGCGTTTATTCTCCATGAGTTTGAGAGATTGAATAACAATAATAATAATCCTTGCATTTTGATGTTGATGCCTTATCATGTTGAGACGTCTCAAAGCTCGTCACAGAATATACTATAAAGTGAATTGACTGTATATTTTGTGGGCAAAACACGGCAGCCAATTACGCACAGCAATGTCCCACAAACAGTCGTGGATTGAATGACCAAATTATTATTATTTGAAGGGGTTATTACCCTGGAAAGCGATCCACCAATCGACTAACAACCAGGTTCTTAATTACTGCAGGTAAACAGAGGTGTGAGTGTGGAGGAAGGAAACTTTCTGGGTTTGAATCGAACCTGGGTCCTCTCACTTGGGTGCTCTAACTAACCACTGTGCTAAAGGATCAATTGCTTCTCTGATACGGGAGAATTGCTTCTCCCCTTCAGATCAAATGACAAGCACGGGCCAGAGTGGAATATTCAAATGTTAGAATCATGTAAATATTTTCGCAGCACAAATTGCACCCGGAGTGCGAGCGTCAGAGAGGTGGCTGCTGAGATGAGGTCCTGAGCCTCGGATTTACCTCCTTCAGTGGTGATTGCAAGTTTATAAGGAGTGAGAAGTTAGTGGAGTGGAAAAACAAGCTGTTTTCCTGTACAGAGAAGTGTCTGCTCGGTGCTTAGGCGGGTTAATTAGGCAGGTGCTGATGCAAACTGAATCACTCAGGCCCACTTGGCAATACATCAAGAAAAGATGTTTTGGAATAAATTGGCTCTGCCGTTTCTCTGGAGCTCCCATTGCCCCTCTGCCCCTTCCCCCGCCCCCCATCCCTGCGGCCAATCTTTCCCAAATTCGCCAATGGGGATCACTCACTTTCTGTCTGTTTCCCAACACATACCCCTCCTGTAGCTCAGTGGTTAGAGAGCTCGCCTCGTAAGCGAGAGGACCGAGACAGGGCAAAACCTTAAGCAGCTTTTCTTACTTCACTCGCCTCTGTTTACGTAGCAGTAAGTAGGTACCAGGTTGTTAGTCGACTGGGTCCAGGGGTAATAATCCCTCCCCCAAAAAATAGATAATAATAATCTAGTCACTCAATCCATGACTGTTTGTGGGACTCTGCGGTGCGCAATTGGTGTTTCGCCAATTTACTTTACGGTATATTCTGTGAAGAGCTTTGAAGCAGATTATTATTATAACATAACCACAGTAATTCCCAATGCACATTCCCTTTTTGATGTTAAATTCTGTCCTTGTCAAGTTTATTTCCTTGTTGTGGTTAGGGTTACACTCCAGTGGGGATGGAGGGAGGTGGTGTGGGGGTGGGTGGTGGTTCTCAGTGTCCTCCTATAGCTCCAGCAGATGGGCTGGGTTCAGCCACTCATTAACCTGAAGGTTTTGTGTACGAAACTTGTCGCACGTCTGGGGTGTGAGGTTGACAAGTCTGATTGTAAAGCAGCCAGGATTCAGCGATGTGCCGCAGAGATGTGAAGTGAATTCTTTCCCTTTGCTAAATATCTGTTGGCTCGTGCATTTGCATGAACGCCACTGGGTCTGAATTGACCGTATAATGGCAGTGTGTGGGCAACAGCCCGAGATAGATAGCATCCCATTATCTGAACAGCATTGTAAGACGGTCCTATTGTAGGTATGGTTTGCCCTCTCGGCAGATGTAGAGTCCCAGTGACCAGGGAATCAAACTAATTTACGTGAGCGCTTAGGGGGTGAAAAGACGACATTTCCAAAACTTGAAGTTGCTGTGTCAGTGCTAATTGCCACTGAAATTGCAGAACATTCAGCATAAAAGAAAGTGCAATTTTCCGCAAAGAAGGAATGCAACGGGATTGTTTGGGTTGGATCGGATTGATCTGTTGAAGATTTAACTAGTGGTAGTAGTCCGAGACGCTGCCCATGGGAAGGGGGCTACATAAATTCAAATTGTTGTTGTTGTGATGTCTGCATTGTTCGAAGGAGCAGTAATTAATGACTGGAAGAGGTTGGCAGGAAGGGTTGAGGACTCATTTAAAAAGCAGTTTGATGCTGTGATGTAATGATGGTAGGGTGGCATTGTGGAGGGAGGAGATCAGATCCGATCTGTCTTCTTTATCCAAACTGATCTTGGGAAAAAAATTTAATTGCAAATGGGGCAATTTTACAGGTTGAACACACTGACAAAGCCTCTCCCAGGATTCTTACTAATGAAAGTCCGACCGTAATTGATACGTTGAGAGACGGTCGCTTCGGAATCTACATTACAGCCCGAAACCTGAAAGCCTCTGATGTCGACAGCGATGACGAGGAACTAATCTTCACTGTTCTACGTCCACCTAACTTTGGATACTTAGAAAACGTAAACACAGGTAACTCAGGTGATCTTTGTTAACAAACTGCAAAAATTGGGTCAAACTTCATCTTAATCTTCAGCACATTCGGCATTTGAGAAGTCCCAATCATCGCACGTTTCGTATTGAGAAATCCGTTAAGAAATAATTATAATCCTTGCATTTGATATTGCGCCTTATCAGGGCTTTGAGACGTCTCAAAGCACTACACAAAATATACTGTAAAGTGAATTGACTATATTTTGTGGGTGAAATAAATTAGACCCTAATCGAATTAAGCGAGAATTTACAGACAATAAATGATCTTACTTACAGGCGGGTATATTCGAGGGACGTTTACTCAGAGTGACATTGACAGGCGCAGAATCCGCTATATCGTAAACTCTTCCATTGAAGTCATATCTGACAGCTACGAGTTCAAAATATCCGACCCAGCTGGCAATTCTATTGTACCACAAGTGTAAGTGTCACCACAAGTTTAGATTAAGTTTAGTTTTTTTTAGGAAATAACATTATAGAATATAGTACATAGGTGGTATATGCATGTGACCGCCAGAAAGGTGAACTAGATGGACCTTTTCTCACTTAGCTTTTTTCCCTTAGCGTGTGGAATAAGGAAACCTGCCTAAAGTTTCTCCCCGCCCGGGAATCGAACACAGGTCCTCTCGCTTGTGAGGCGAGTGTTCTAACCAATACGCTTCAGGAGTTTTAAGACATTTTCATCGTTAATTCTTACTATTGCTTAACTCCCTGGCTACAGTCACATAATATTCACAGTAAAAATGGATAAAATAGACTTGAATTTGTTTCAGAAGGTCCTCACCAAACTTCACTCTTCGAGATTAATCTCAGCTAAGCAAACTTGTTGAATGTTTCCATTTCTTGTGTTTAAAATTATGAGGGGCTTTGATAGAGTAGATCGGGAGAAACTGTTTCCAGTAACCAGGGCACAGAGATTTAAGATAATTGGCAAAAGAACCAGAGGGGAGATGAGAATTTTTTTTACACAGAGAGTTGTTATGGTCTGGAATGCACTGCCTGAAAGGGTCGGTGGAAACAGATTCAATAACAACTTTCAAAAGGGAATTAGATAGGTACCTGATAAGGAAACATTTGCAAGGATATGGAGAACGAGCGGGGGAGCATGATTCATTGGGTAGCTCTTCCAAAGAGCCAGCACAGGCACGATGGGCCGAATGGCCTCCTTCGGTGCTGTAATATTCTTTGATTCTTCATTGAAGAGAGTAAGAAAAAGTAAACTACCAAATGTGTGTGTGTTTTTATACGTCCTGTTACAGAATGGAGCTGAAATGGTCAAGAATCGAAATGGCTGAAACCTTGTACAGAGTTTGTGAAGACACAGGAACTCTCTCCATTAAAGTTACCAGGAAAGGATACAGCTCTGACCCATCTTACATTAGTATACAGGTGATGTACTACCCTTGCCTACATTATGTGCCTACCCTTGCCTCAAAACTCCAGCCTCTCTCCCCCCCACCTTCACTGCTGTCTTTCTCTATTTTACCTAAATGACAATGTTAGTTTCCTTCTCTGAAGTTTCCGGCCGTGGCTGAACCAATTTCTAACTTCACCTGTTTCTCACACCTCCTACCTAGCATCTCACTGTATTGAAATCGAGACTCATTGAGCTATCTCCTACTCCCTTTCTCAGGATTGCAACACTTTATTTGCCCCAGACTTTTCTACCTCTTACAATCAGCAACTGGTAAATAGTTCCAGCTTAATCCTCGCCTCACCTCACCACTATTTCCTGATTTAATTTGATCTTCCCTCCTCCTACCTTTTCAACTTGGTTATTTTCAGTGCAGAAATAACGATAACAATCCTTGCATTTGATATCGCGCCTTTCATTTGGGGAGGGTGTCTCAAAGGGGGTTTCAGAGGATTTACTGTAAAGTGTAGTGACTGTGTGTTTTGTAGGCAATGAACATTCTGTTCGTTGTCCAATTGGTTTGCAATTACCTCTTTGCTATCCGTACAACCATATGTTACAGGGAGTCATTCTTTGTGGGCTAATGGGGTGGGGGGGGGAAAGGGTGGAGAGCGGGAGGATATGAATGGACGGACGTGGGGTAAAGAGGGGAAATGGAGAGAGGCCCCTAGCAAAAAGTATTAGTTTCCCCGTGTTGACACCATGTCCTTGAAGCTCACTGATGTGTGTCAGAGTGAAGTCCCTCATACAATGTGCTCCGAGACGCTTCCCTGCTATATGAATGGAAGTTGTTGTTGTTTGCCATTGAAGTGGAAAGGATTCTGGTAAAGCTCTCTCTGAGACATGTACGCCTTCTAACTCATCGTGTGCTAATCACGCATTAATTTATCTGCTAACCATGTGCTAACCATGTACTAACCATATGCTGTTATGCAAAAAAAGGAAGATAATATGACAGAAATAATGATACTAACACCACCAGGATGTGGCTGAAAGCTTCTGACAAGGAATGGAAATATACATGTGATATCATACAGTGACATAAGCCTTCAAATCCATTTGGCTCCAGTGTGATTTACGCAGAGCCACAACAGTCCTATTTTAAGGACCTTCCAGTCATTTCCAAATTAGAAACCCAGCAAACTGCCATCACAGGGTGTCTTTGGAAAAGGAGATTCGGAAACCAGAACCATTGATAAATTATGTGGCGGATTCAAATGCAAATGACGACATCTCGAAGAAAAAGAAGAAGAAAAGGGAAATGTATTTTTTTGCCCTGACCTTCTTTTTGTTATTTGCGCTTTTCCTGACTTCCTGTCCGAGTTCGTGCCTTCCCATCGGAAGTCGGTCACCAGAGGTGGGCAGTGGAGGGAAACGGTGGGGGGGCACTTGAATTAAAGTGGCCACTCCGAATCTCTTCACCTTTGAATGCCATTGAAATGCTGGAATGGAGATGTCTCTTTAAATACCAGCACATGTGGGCTACTGCACTGCCTGAGAGCATTTAAGTTTAATTTGCTTTGTAGCTTGGAAAGTGTGTTTGAATCAAGGGCGCAGTTATGTGTCAGCCTGGCTTAGTGGTAGCGCTCGCTCTCTCTCTCTTTCTCTCTCTCTCATCCTTGAGTCAGAAGGTTGTGGATTCAAGCCCCAGGTCAGGACTTGGAATCACATAGTCTAAGGTGACGCTCCAATGCAGCGGCTGGGGGTGGGTGGGGATGTTGAGTTGTCAGAGGTGCCATCCTTCGGGTGAGACGTTAAACCGAGATCCCGTCTGCTTGTTCAGATGGACGTTAAAGATCTGTGGCGCTATTGGAAAAGAGAAGGGAGTTTCTTTCTCTATCAGTGTCCTGGCCAACAGATTAATCAATCAGTCAATCGTGGCTATTTGTGGGACAGTGCTGTAAATTAGGGAATACAGGGGTTTAGGAGAGGGGATTAGCAGGGGTGGATGCCCGTGTGGAATGTAAACACCAGCATGGACTAGCTTAGGCAGAATGGCCTGTTCCTATCTTGTTGTACAGTTTGGAGTAATTAGAAAATGTCTGCCTTGTTTCCCTACAAATGCACAGTCACTGCAAGTCACACCAAATCCCAGTGAAGCACTTTGAGACCTTTCAATGTCATAGGTGCTATATAAAATCCAAAGATTATTGTTGTTCCACTATACACCAAACATTGCCCTGAAAGGCATTCACAAGCAACTATAAACAAATGAAGAATTTGCCATCCTGCCATTGCAAAGCTTTGGATATTGAACTCCGCATTTCTGAGTTTGTGTCCTGTTGTGTCCCGCCACTCCCCCAACACTCTCCCCCCATTCCCTCTGCAGGTCCAGGAGTTATCAGCTATAGTTGACAGAGATTTCACTCACAGTTCGGCCAGCTTGATTCAGTTTGATCCGGGTGAGTTAAAGCAGGAGATGCATCACAAACCTTGGGATATCTCAACGACATGGTGAGGCACTATATGAAATGCAAGGATTATTATTAATCACAAAAATAATTTGTATTTATATAGCGCCCTTTATGCAGAGTCGCGTCTTGGAGCACTTTAACAGGGAGGTGGGGAGGTGACCGTGGGCAAAGTCAAAGAGGAGGGTCTTCAAGTGCGATCAATTGAGGCAGTGATCTCCATAATTTGGGGGTACTAACTGAAAGCATGACCGCCGATGTTGGAGCAGAGGTGAAGAGGGACAGAGCCACCTGAGTGAAGGAGGCAGTTAGTGGAGTGGTTAGTGGAATATTATTGCCATGCCTTGCCATGCTATACTTTGCTGGTCCTGTTATGCCTTGAAGTGCCACGCTGTGGCTTTCTAGGCCAGACTTCCCCTCAGCTAACATTCCTTGGTTTAACGCAGGCGTCTCCACGAAGGTTTGGAATGTTTTTATCAAGGATGATGGACTGGAAGAGAACAATGAAAAGTTTGAAGTGAGGCTGAGGACTCCTATCAACGCCATCCTTGGCCAGAACGACATTTCTTTGGTGGAAATCGTGGACTTACGTGGAGGTAATTAATGGCTGTATCTCTTACTAATGGACTTTATTTCTCAACAGTGAGGGGCCCTAGCAATAAAACAGGGCGACCACTACCCCCATCATTCTCCAACAGAGTTTGGCAACTTTTATCTTCAGCGAGGGCAAAGATTTGCATATCCCACCCACCTGCCGCCCCCTCCCCAATAATTCAGTCATGGGAACATAGAAATTTGCAGCAAAGGAGGCCAGTTTGCTCACCAAATCTCTTTTATTTGCCCATGGATTCTCAAGCATGGGTGATGGGTTTCTGCATGTGCCAGTCACCTAACTGACCCCAAAAAAAATCTTACCCAAGAGAGTATTCTTCACTTATAAGTCTTGACAGTGAGTGTTGGCGGGCTATTCACAGGATCACAAGATTGGTCTGGGTGAAGATGGCCCTTTGGCCCATCTGATCTCATAATTCCAGAAGACTAACCCTACTGACCCCCAACACCTCTCCCACCACCCCTCCCTACCCTATCACAGTATCAAGCTCTTTTTAAACAAATCCCAGTTTCCTTGCCTCAACCACCATCCCTGGTAACCTGTTCCAGTTGTTGCTTACCCTTTGAGGAAATAAAAACTTCCTGGTGTCTGCCTTTTACACCCTATTCCAGGGACAATCCCCAGATGAGATATTGTGTCCCTGGAGCCAAATTTGCCCTGACTTGAGTTCAGCATCTAACTAAGCAAGAGCAAAGAATTCTAAAACAGATACACTCATCAGCGAATTATATACATGATTTAATTGGAATGGTGGAACAGGCTCAAGGGGGCTGAATGGCCTCCTCCTGTTCCTATGTTTCTAGAGCCATTAATCCACCAAGCTTCTTCAGTACTGCCAGCATCAGGAATGGTGGTGAGTTCAATTTAGTTTACAAAATATAATCCCTCTAACCCATATTCAAGTATGGGTGGGAAGGGTCAGTGCAGCCAATTGTGGCCTCACCCAATGTCCACCCACTTTCTGACCAGGGATGTTGGATAGTAACCCTGGCTGATGTGCCCCTCTCTGATGACATTAGGTTTGTATGTCAGTAGGTGGTTGTGCTCTGATACATCCAAGGATGAGTGAAGAGGACGAGACACATGATGGTTTTGAAGGAGCTCCACATTCAAACTCCAGGTCTCCTCCTGACAGCCGAGGAAAAGTATTCAGGCAGAGGGGAAGAGCGGGCATGGAGTCGGAGCCGGATTGGGATTCCTTCCCTTCTCCTCCTCGAGGCGATGTCCCTCAGACTGATCAATTATGCGATCTTCAAGCCCTGACCAGAGAAGAAGCCTCTCCAATTGTCCCCAGGAGACAGATTCATTCCATTGAAAGTGGCAGAACGGTACGTTCAAACAAGGAGACATTGTAGCATTATGACTTTTCGATTTCTTCCTCGTAGTTTCTTCCTTGTATCAGCCGGACTTTATTTAACAGTCCCATCAATATAATAATAAGCGAGACCTGGGTTCTATTCCTGGCAGGGAGAAATATTGGGCAAGTTTCCTTACTCTTCACGCCTCTGGTTACCTAGCAGTAAGTAGAAACACGGTTGTTAGTCGATTGGTGGATCGCTTTTCCAGAGATAGTAATCCCTCAAAAAAACCTATAATGAATTGGTCAATCCCTGACTGTTTGTGGGACGCTGCTGTGTGTAATTCTCTGCCGCGTTTCGCCCACAAAAACACGGTCAATTCACTTTACAGTATATTCTGCATTGAGATGTCTCGAATGCAAAGATTATTATTATTAATATTAATCCTTGCATTTGATATAGCATTTTATCATGTCTTCACAACGTCTCGAAGCGCTTCACAGAATATACTGTAAAGTCAATTTTCTGGGTATTTTGTGGGCGAAACGTGGCAGCCAATTGCGCACAGCAGTGTCCCCAAAAACAGTCGTGGATTGAGTGACCAAATCATTATTTATTTATTTTGAAGGAACTATTATCCCCGGAAAAGCGATCTACCAATCGACTAACAACTGGTTCCTACTTACTGCTAGCTAAACAGAGGCGTGTGGAGTAAGGAAACTTACCCAAAGTTTCACACCGCTTGGGAATCGAACCCGGGTCCTCTTGCTTACGAGGCGAGTGCTTTAATCACTGAGCTACGGGGCTCCATGATACAACCATTCGTATAACGTTCCAATGGAAATTTGTTCCCCTTTGTGTTTCCTTCCTTCAAATTCATCCTCTTCCACTCCCAAAGCTTCCAATTCTGTGTTGAGCTGGTGTCTCCCCGTCACAGCACTGAGATGCTGGGAATCCTCTGCTCCAGTCAGGCACAGACTTAGCGGGCAGGAGACCGGAGCTAGCTGAGGGGAGGGCAGCGGGTAGTGGAGTGGCCAGGCCGTGGCACATGAGAGCAGCACAAAATCTGTGTTGTTTTCCAGTCCCGCGAGATGGTGTCAGTGAGGATCGAGGAGAGATCAGTCCCTGGCAGTAACTGGCGGTGGCCTCTGTTTCCATTCCCTCTGGGCAGCAGACAGGAGCTGCCTCAACAAGATGCTTCCATTCCCCTTGAAAAAGCTCATTCACACGACAGCAATGATAAGGTTGGTATCACTGCTTCTCCTCATGAATCAATTAATGTTTTGGGTCAGTCTGACACAACAACAACAAATTACACTTGTAGAATGCCTTTCATGTCAGGAGGAAGTCCCAAGGCGCTGGACAGTCAGGGATCTGAAGCCGAGCTGGTGGTTGGGATCAGGAGGGGTTGCAGGGTGGGGAGGTTAGAGGTAGGAGGATGACCGAAGGCATGGTCAAAGAGGAAGGTCTTGAAGGAGGCAAGGGAGGGGGTGAGGCAAAGGGGCTGTGGGATGGAGTTCCAGAATATGGGGCAGAGAGGCTGAAGGCCTGTCTGGATATGGAACCATCGTTACATCAAATGCAAGGATTATTATTATTATGTATGGTTCCAGCAGAGCCACAAAGCCAAGTGCCCCATGGGCTGGACACAGAATGAGAAGCACTGCTACCTGCTGAACTCATGGAGAAACGGCACCTGGGAGGGAGGCCAAACCGCCTGCAGCCACATGTAAGTGCTCAACTGCTCAGTGAAGCTTTTACTCAACACATCCCAACTCCCAACTCCCAGAGTGCGATGAACACAAGTTATCACCTTTGTTATTATTATTATTAATGATAGAGATGGAGAGAGGAGGGGAGAGATAGGGAGAGAGAGCTAGCGTGACAGAGAGATAGCGACGCAGAGACAGACTGACAGACGGGCGGGTGGAGAGAGGGACACAGACAGATTATGATTAATTAATTAATAGCTGTGATAGATTATGATTAATTAATTAATAGCTGTAATCCTGAACTCCTGTAGTTGAGGGGTTAGAGGACTCGCCTCGCAAGCCAGAGGAACTGAGTTTGATTCCTGGCCGGGACAAATCCTTAGGCCGGTTTCCTTACGCCACACACCCTCTGTTTACCTAGCAGAGATTGTTAGTCAATTGGCGGATCGCTTTTCCAGAGGTACCAATTCCTTCAAACAAATTAATAATTTAGTCACTCAATCCATGTGGGACACTGTTGTGTGCAATTGGCTGCTGCGTTTCAACCACAAAATATATTCAATGAATTCATTTTACAGTATATTCTGTGAAGCGCTTTGAGACAACTTGAAGACGCGATGAGCGCTGTATTAAATACAAGGATTATTATTTTATTAATTACAAACATATTATACAAGTTGACAATTAAGAGCTTGTAACATTGACTTTTTCTTTTCCTACCTCCCTCTCCCCCCACTCTGCCCTCCTTCCCTTCCTCCCATATCATGGTAGGTTCCATGGTAACCTAGTCAGCGTCCATTCTAAGAAGGAGATGAAATGGTTCTCGAGATTTGCCCAAAAGCAGCCAATCTGGATTGGTACGTACCCTTGAGCAACATTTGAATAGGACTGTCAGGAAGAAGGATTGAGGCCAGGATGTTTAAAAATCACACAGCTCAATGGGGGAGGGGAGCAGTAGGGCAGATATTCTGGATAAGGATGAGATCAGATGTGCCAAAGGACCGTCTTCATCTGAACCCATCTTGTGATCTTCTGACTAAGATTCGGCAACCTTTTGACACATTAGCGACCCATTCCGTTCACGCAGAACTTTCTCTCGAGGTTAAATAGTTGGGGTAGAGTCCATAAGGCGATTCTTGTATAGGAGCTATGGAAGGAATGTTCTGCCTTCATCTCATGGATCTGAGTGTTCTTGAGAAGACGGATGTTGGTGGGTGGATGCTGGCGAGACAGGTGGTCACCATGTTATGTTCTCTTTGTTGTAGGTCTCAGGGCGGAGGTTGGATCAGGGAGATGGGAGTGGACCAATGGAAGACCCGTCACCTTTACAAACTGGAAGAAACCAAAGATGTGGTCAATGGGGGGAGACGTCCAGTCAAAGTGCGCTCTTGCCCAGGGAAAGGGCAAGTGGGTGGTACGTCCTTGCAGTGACCATCAGGTTGGAGGATACATCTGTTCCATTTCTCTAGTGTGAGCAGGAACAGGCCAGAACTCGTGTAAATAAGGCAGGCACATCGTGGCTTTGTCTTAAGCTATTAGGCAGAGCTACTCTGAAAGGCAATTTTCACAATTACCAATTATTTCAGAGTCCCAAAGATGACCGTAATGGAAGCCAATATTCTCGGTCACATCTGCACAGGACTCCTTGCCAAGACCTCTAACTTAGGTCATCATTGCTAGGCTGTTCCTGTCATTAAAAGAGCTGTTTATAAAAGAATTTCATAAATCCCTATCGCCTCTTAGCCTGTGTGAGGAGCAGTGTGTTGTGTTGTAGTGTATTGAACGGCGGTAACCATTTCAAAACTGAATTTGCACTGGCACAAACGGGTTGGTATAACACATGACAGCTCCTACCCTACACACCATAAATAAATTGTTCTTTTAAACCTTCAAGCCATTAATTCACTCCCAGGAAATATCAAAGCCCAGAGCTGTCAGATGTTTGCAGTATTAGGAATGTGCCAATGTGATTTAAGCCTTCCTATTGTCACAAATCAACAGGCTTTCTTAGCTTGGGATTCAACATCCAATAATAATAATAATATTAATAATATTAATAATGATATCCTTAAAAACATAATTTAAATAAAATAGTTAAAATAATAATAATTTGGTCACTCAATCTACGACTATTTGTGGGACGCTGCTGTGCGCAATTGGCTGCCGCGTTTCGCCCACAAATATAGTCAATTCACTTTACAGTATATTCTGTGAAGCGCTTTGAGACGTCTCGAAGATGCGAAAAGCACTATATCAAATGCAAGGATTATTATTATTTATTTAGCATCAACAGGGGGTTGGTCACTTCCATTTGTCACTTGCTGCTCTCCTCTGATCGGACTTGCTGAGACCGACCTCCTCTTCCCATATCAATACTCTGCACAAACCCCGTGCCCTGATGTGACTTTCGTTCAGTCGACTGCACTCTCGCTTCCAGGTCAGAACATTATGGAATCAGCACCATGTCGGGGACTTTGAGCTCACAGTCCAGCCTAATACCCCAGAAAAATACTAGGGGAAGAGCTATGTTGTCGGAGGCAGTGACATGTTCACAGACAATGTGCAACGGGGTCCTGGCTGGTCAACTACACTGTCTTGTTGGAGGTACCATTTTTCGGATGTACCTTTAAGCCAAGATCCTGTCTGCCTGATCTCTTCGCGCTATTCAAAAGACACGTGAAGTTCTACCAGTATCCTGGCCAACATTACCCCAGATAAAATCAGTTGTTCACTTTATGGCTATTTGTGGGACGTCGCTGTACAAATTGGCAGGACACATTTGCCTACAAAATGCACAGTCACTACACATTACAATAAATCCTGTGAAACGCTTTGACAATTTTTTTTCCCCCACTGCATCAAATGGAAGGATTACTTATTTTGTTTGCTGTCAGTGGGAGGTTGTTTGGAGATTCCCACAGGGTGTGTTAGGAACATAGGAACAGGAGTAGGCCATTCAGCCCCTCGAGCCTGATCCGCCATTCTATCAGATCATGGCTGATCAACTCCAATTACCCGCCCTTGCCCCGTATCCCTTGATACCCTGACTTGACAAATATCTATCCACCTCAGTCTTCAAAACATGAATGGATCCACCATCCACAACCTTTTGGGTGTGGGAGAGAAATCCAGATTTCCACCATGTGTGAAAAACTGCCTCCTGATTTCACTCCTAAATGTCCGAGCTCTATGTTTAAGATGAGGCCCCCTTGTTCTGGATTACCCCACCAGAGGAAATAGTTTTTGTGTAGATACCCTAGCGAATCCCTTTACCTCTTTTGCAGTTGTGTGTGATTTGTGGGTGGAGAAGGCAAATGAGACTATTGTTTTTCGCATCCGATACCTCCTTACATTTAATATTCCGTAACAATTCTGCAGACAGAAACAAAGGAAGTTGTGCATTTTCTGTGCATCGAGGTGTGATCCTGTAGCTCAGTGGTTAGAGCACTCACCTCGCAAGTGCGAGACCTGGGTTTGCTTCCTGGCAGGGCAAAACCTTGGGCAAGTTTCCTTACCCCATACCCCTGATAATAATCCCTCAAGAAAAAAAAATTGGTTACTTCAATCCGCGACTGTTTGTGGGAAGTTGCTGTGCGGAATTGGCTGCCACATTTTGTCCACAAATATACAGTCAATTCACTTTACAGTATATTCTATGAAGCGCTTGGAGACGTCTCGAAGACGTGATAAGGCGCTATATCAAATACAAGGATTATTATTATTACCCAAGTGTAACTGCGATCAGACCACAATCATTCATTTCTGGAATATGTTATAGATATTATTCACAACCTAAGCCTGAAAAACATGTGTTTTTTTGGTTAAACGAGACGGGGGGGGAAGGGAGGTAGGAAAGAATGACGCATTCAAAAAAAACTCCCAATAATTTGCACGTGGAGGATGGATGGGGTTTCTAGTTAATTGTGTTGAACCCGGAGCCAGCCCAGCTGTGAGGCGACGTGGCAGTGAAATGCTGCTTTTGGAACGGGCTAATCTGGTGCAGCTGATGATTTCTGCAACCTGCACGGAACAAACAGCGTTGTTTTAGTGCCGATCACTGTAGCTCAGTGGTTATAACACTCTGGGTTTGTTTGTAACAAACCTGGGTTTGTTTCCCAGGTGGGATAAAACCTCAGGCAAGTTTCCTTGCTCCACACGCCTCTGTTTACCTAGCAGTCAGTAGGAACCTAATTGTTATTCGATTGGCGGATTGCTATCCGGGGGTAATAATCCCTCAAAAAAAAATTTTTTGTGGGACACTGCTGTGCATAATTGGCTCCTGCATTTTTTCCCACAAAATACACAGTGAACACACTTTACAATATATTCTATGAAGCGCTTTGAGATGTTTCAACGACGTGATAAGGCACTGTATCAAACACACAGGTTATTATTATTAACAGTATGATGAGCAGGAGGGAGGGTGGGGTGGTTCGTGGAAAGTAAAAGCCTAAACATGCTGTCATTGTATCGAGCGAGATACATATAAACAACTGTGATGGGGAGGGAGGTGTTTGCAGTGGAGGGTGAGGAGGTACAAAACAAGGCAGAAATCAGTCGTCATAGCAAATCACACAGATAATTTTTTTCCAAAAACATTATCCGTAAATTACCTTCTAATAACCTTTGCTTCTGTGTCAAGCGGAGCATCGCAGGAGTATTGCCTGCCGCTGTCGGAGACTGGCAAGGGGGGCCTGGCAGGGAAGGTAAGCAAGTGACAGCCACTGCGCTGGCCACACTGCTGTGTGCAGCAAGTGCTTCAAGGCACCTGCAAACCATTTGCCTTATTATCCTGCACCTGTGTCTAGCAGTGCCAACAACAACAAAATGACATTTACACAACGTCGGGAGGAAATCCCAAGGCACTGGACAGTCAATGTTTTGGACCTGAGTTGGGGGTCGGTTTCGGGGAGGGCAGGGGCGAAGGAGGGTAACCAAAGAGGAGGTTCTTGAGATGCGTCTTAAAGGAGGTGAGAGAGGGGCGAGGTGGAGAGACTGTGGGATGGAGTTCCAGAGGGTGGGTAAACATGGGCATAGCAGTCTGGACCTTTGGGTTAATGGTGTACGATGTGTCTATCAGCAAAGGAACGGCTTCTGCATTATTCATATCATAGAATCATAGAATCGTACAGCACAAAAAGAGGCCATTCGGCCCATCGAGTCTGTGCCGATTTTTTGAAAAGAGCAATATAATGTCAATCCCACTCCCCAGCCCTTTCCCCGTAACCCTGCAAACTCGTCCTCCTCAAATACCCGTCAACCGCATTTTTAAAAGTAGTTATCGAATCGGCCTCGACCGCCCTTCCAGGCAATGCGTTCCAGATTCGAACAACTCGCTGCATGAAAACATTTCTTCTCACCTCCCCTCGGCTTCTTTTAGATACTATTTTGAATCTGTGACCTCGAGTCACCGACACACCCACCAGTGGGAACAGTTTTTCCCTTTCTAACCTATCAAATCCCCTCATGATTTTGAAGACCTCTATTAGGTTCTCCTCGTAACCTTCTCTGCTCCAATGAGAATAATCCCGGCCTCTCCAGCCTTTCCTCATCATTACGGTCCCTCATTCCTGGTACCATCCTAAATCTCCTCTGCGCCCTTTCCAATGCCTTAACATCCTTCCTATAGTGTGGTGCACAGAACTGGACACAATATTCTAACTGAGGCCTAACCAGTGTTTATATCAGTTAATCATAACCTCCTGACTCTTGTACTCTATTTATAAAGCCTAGTATCCCATATGCCATTTTCACAGCTGTATCTACCTGTCCTGCCACCTTTAAGGATTCATTTACCTGCCTCCCAGGTCTCTGCTCTTTCACCCCCCCACCCTTAAGATTGTATTACCAGCCTATACTGTCTCCCCTCATTCTTTCTACCAAAATGGATTACTTCGCATTTCTCCACATTGAAAATGTGTCGCCCATTTTACCATTCTGTCTATGTCTTCCTGTATAATAGCAGAGCAGTAGTCCCAATACTGATCCCTGGGGGACACCACTGTGCACTTCCCTCCAGTCAGAAAAGCAGCCGTTCACCACAACTCTCTGCTTTCTGTCTCCCAGTGAGTTCTGGATCCACTGCCACTGTCCCTTTTATACCGTGGGCTTCTATCTTTCTTACAAGTCTTCCATGTGGCAGCACTTTGTCAAATGCCTTTTGAAAGTCCATATAAACTACCTTTATCCACCCTCTCCGTTACCTCATCGAAAAATTCTATTAGATTTGCCTTTAACAAATCGGTGCGGCTGTCCCTAAATAACCCATATTCTTCTAAGTGAAGATTTATTCTGTCCCGGATTATAGTCTCCAGGAGTTTCCCCACTACTGATGTTAGGCTGACTGGCCTGGAGTTCCCAGGTTTGTCCTTCTGTACCTTTTTGTACAGGGAGTCACATTGGCCACTCTCCAGTCCTCGGGCACCACTCCTGTGTCCAATGAATATTGAAAAATTGTAGCCAAAACCTCCGCTATTTGTACCCGTGCCTCCCATAGTAACCTCGGCTGCATCCCGTCCGGACCGGGTGACTTATCACCTTTAGCCCAGTCAACCTTTTCAATACTTCCTCTCTGTGTATAAGTATCCTATCCATTTCCTCTGCCCTCTCCTCCGATACTGCAGCATTTGATGCATCCATTTCTTTTGTGAAGACAGATGCAAAGTACTAATTCATCAGCCATGCCCTCTACCTCCACAATAAGATTTCCCCCTTGGTCCTTAAATAGCCCCACCCTACCTTT